TGAGGAGCGTGGAATGCCCCGGGAGCAACCTTTCTGCGTTGCGGAAGGTCCGGGCTGTCTGCGATTACTCGGCGAATAGCTGCCGTTACTGCCTGGACTGAGAGGGTATTCTCGATCGCGTCGTCCGTCTTCGAGGCGTCATATGCGTTGATCCATGACTCAAGAGGGGTGCCTCTGAGGGCCCTGACTAGGTCCTTGAACCACTGGCTTGCCTCCGTTGCTTCTTGTAGCTTGACAGTCTGAGCCTCTTCGATTGCTATTTCCCAGAGAGCAAGCCACTCGCCTGTTGCCTTATATGTCGTTATGTGGTGTTGGAGTGGTTTTGCTAGGAGTTCGCGGAGGGTTCGGCGAGCCTTCTGGACCCTTTCATCGTAGGCATATGCAAACTTAGTTTGGAGGGCCTGTACCCAGTCGGCTAGGGAGTCGTCGGCTCGGCAGTTCTGTTGATAGAGAGGAACTGAGATGCTCTCTTTGATCCAGTCTTGGATGACGTCTAGGCTCTTCTTCGTCTCCTTATACTGCCTCTTGCGGTATTCGTAGTTGGCCCACATCGCGTTGTAGGTTGAGAGCCCTTTCTCTGTGAGGTCTGTCACATCTGACGCTCGAAGGGCCGAATCCTCGCCGATTGCTAGGCGAGGGTCCTCCGAATCGGTCTCCGTACCGGCGGCCGCGATGATCGTGTCGGTGGATGTGGAGCTAGGGATCAGAGACTCCGTAGTCGCGCTCGTAGCGGCCCCTTTTCGCTTGCGAAAGTCTGTAATTGCTGGAAGGGTCGGCTTCACAAGGTGTAGCTTGGGCTTGTTGGTCTTTTCCGGGTCGAGGTATTCCCAGAGGTCTTGGTTCAGGGCTTTCGTCTTGAGGGCTGAGGACCAAGGAATCCAGTCATCGCCTGTAACAAGCTTGATAGTCGTCATCGCGCCGAAATCTTCGGCGAATCGTCAGCGATCCGGGGGAGAGAGGTGTGCGAGTGGTAAGGGCGTGTAGCACGTATCTGACTGTTAATTGTTGGAATGCTTATGTGACGATTTGATGACCTTGAACATGTGTATTCTTCTTCCCTTTTGCTAAGGGACGGGCCTAGAGCCTGTCTTTTATACATGATGAAGACGGCTGCTGCCGGAGGCGGCAGTCCGTCGCCGCCGCACAGGGGCCGGGGTCCTGTGGGCCCCAGGGACCGGGATCGCGGTCACAGGGCCGGCGATGGAGGGCTCGTCGAGCCCTGCCCGAATAGGCCCATTATCCCTCACGTGACATCGTGGAGCCCTGATATTCCATGCCTCCAATTCAACAACTACAACCCTGCGCCCCCCTACTCACACGATCTGTCCTGCTGCCTGGCATGACTCATATCTCCACTCTACAGCTCTTGGCGCAGAGGGCTGAGCCGGGGCTGGTGCCAGGTGCAAGAACGAGACCGATCAGAACCGGTCCATAAGCAGATAAGATATCTCAATTCGAACGACAGCGACTGAAGGGTGGTAGATTTTGCCTTGTGAGGCCCGCTTGAGACAGCTTAGTCTACGGGTCACACTTGCTGTGGAGGGTCAAAAGTGGACCAAGGCAAGCTCAGAAAAACGGTAGCAATTGAAGGGATGACAATCCGCGGGTGTGAGACGGCTCTTGCCAAGAAACTATACACAAAGCGCGGCAGTGCTACTATTCAATCGCCAACCCCAAGGTTCTTGCAGCCGCTGGGCCTACTATGTCGCGTACGGCCGTTTTCATCCCTTTCGATAACGGGTGCCACATTGTCAATCAGCTTGCTGAGGGCGGCACATTTGGGGTCCGCTCCGAGCATCCCTCAACCTGTTCACTTTCGTGCTTACTTCTGTTCTTCTTCTTCTCCTTCGTCTTTTTCGTCGTCTTTTTCAGTCTCTACTGTACTGCGTCTTCTGTCTGTTGTAGAGTAGTACTGTGCTCAAAGCCGCCCTGCCGCTGCTGATAAGCGGGGTTACCAAACCAGCCCCCACCCCCCAACCGCAACTCAGCCCGTTGAACGATCAAATCACGCGGCTTCAAGGCCGTGAGAATGAGGACAATAAATGATTGGCTGGATAAAGTGTGGGTCTTCGACAGCAGGAGAACGAAGTGAAGCGTGGAAGGGCTTATATTTAAATATAATTATATTAATTATTATAATTTATTAATTATAATAATTTATTGTTAATAAAAGTATAATAGTATTTTATAAGTAATATTTTAATAAGATTTCTTTTTATTCTTTTTATATTAAATTAATTATAAAATATATAAATAAAGTTATAAATATTATTTTAACTAATTTATAACTTAATATTATTTTTAATTAGCGTAAAATTTTTATAAGTTTTTATTATATATTTTAACTAATAACGTACATGATAAGCTTGCGTGACAAACAAGCTTGCGTGACAAAAATACTAACCTTCAAAATTAAAACTTCAATAAAAATACAACAACACCTTAAATCAATTAAAACTAATTGCTATACTCTTCTCCAGAGGTCTCAATAACAGCCTGACAGGTCCTTGCATTATGACCGGCCTTTCCACAAGTTCCACAGCGCCTTTCCCTCGGCATCACCGACCTCGCTCGACCACTACTTCTCGACGATTCAGCTGCTACCTGTGCATCGACATCTCTCTGATCTATCTCACCCCTTCCCTCATCTACAGTCATCTTCCCTCTATTCTGTAGGCGGGTCCTTTTTGCTCTGCGCTGCTTGCTAAGAGTCTCATTTGCCTGTTGAAGGATCTGGTTCTCAGACTTTAATAATGCTATTTGATATATTATTGCTTTTGTTCCCTTAGAAAATGACTTAAGTGCCTCAAGGATAGATGCTGGAGAGCTGCTCTGATGCCTTCTTACTTGTCTTTTAAGGTATTTAGACTGCGAACTGGCCTTAAGTACTGTCTTTGGGGTCTTCGAGACCCAAGGGTCGGGGAGGCCGACCTCCTCTGCAGCCGGTGTTGGAGTCTGTAGCTGCACATCAAGCTTCGATATGACATTTTCTGGGTTCAAGGGAACAAGTCCGGCCCCTCGAAAACCTCCCTTAATATTACTCCTTGTTATAGCGGCTGCGTGGGTAGCATAGAAGGCTGGGAAGAACTCGGTCTTTGTAACGTGGGTTATAGAGCATCTGATTAATTGCTTAATTTCTCGACCATAGGCTGTTTTAAGCGGCCCAAAGCATCCGACATCAAGAGGCTGGAGTAGATGAGATGAATGAGGCGGCATACAAAGCGTAATAATGTCGTTCTCTTTATAATATTTCTCAAAGTTGACGGAGTGGTGACTTTCGTGCCCATCGAGGATTAGAAGACGATAGCGACCAGTCGATCGATCCTTTGTGTGCCGGTCAAAGTGCTTGAGCCACTCAAAACCTGTCTCATTGTTGGTCCAGCCATTTTGAGTCGTCACAATAGCCCAATCGCCCGGGAGGTTGCTTTCCTGATACCAGCTAGCGAGGTGATATTGGCCCGCAACCACGATGAACGGCTGGATCGCCCAGCCTTCTGCATTGATCGCCTGAATGACTATAACCCATTCCCGGTTTCCAGGCTGGACTGATTTCGGGTTTCCACGCCTATCTGTGCCTGTAACGACCATTCCGCTTGCGATGATGCCCATCATAAAGCCGGTCTCATCAAAGTTGTAGATATCGGCTAGGTCGATACCATATTTCGCAATTGTATTCTCCACGAGCTGGAACCAATTGCAAATAATAGTTGGATCTTCGCATTTAGCCCTCTGATAGTCGTATTTACGAAAAAAACGCATCTTGAGCTCTAGTTGTCGCCTGATAAAGTTAGAAGCCCAGCGCTTGCCGACGGGTGACGCGTCGCGGTCGGCGAGCAGTCGGTTGGCCATTTCTTCAACACCACGCAGTCGCGGGGGAAACCCTCGCGAATCCAGGTCGAGGATGAACTGAATAATGATCTGCTCTTCTAGATCGGACAGCTTGCGTGATTTGGGGATCCAATCGCGTCGGGATTGAATCCCCTTCTGCCGGCGCCATAGCATCATACGGCCAACTTTGTAGATCTCTGCAGCGCGTCGGAGCTTTAATTTTGGGTCATTTTGAAGGGCCTGAAGTGCAAGAAGGATTCTACCCTCAATATGAGGGTCAGACATATTTTGTGGTTGAGAATTAATTGATTAAATGGAGATAATGTAGGTGGAGGGATTTTTGTCACGCAAGCTTGTTTGTCACGCAAGCTTATCATGTACGTTATTTAAATTTCACTAAAACTTAAATAACTTTTTTAACTCTAATCTTACAAACTATACTAATCTAGTAATTAAGCATAGTTAGTTTAGTTAAGTGTGTATTTCCAGCTTATTACACTGTTATTAATTAGAGCCTAAGCCAGGCTATATTAGCCTAAGCTTCGCCCAAGCTATAGAGACTACGTATCTACTGGGGAATGTTAAAGGTGGCGGGAATTGTACATTTTCACCCCATGGATAGCTCTCAGCTGGTGGTGCCATTATCGACGTCGGAAAACGCTGCGGAATTGCACGACACTGCCCCATGGAGTAGCGTCTCAGCATTTATGCACAGCGTGCATAATCCTCGTGTAGTGACTGAGCCTGCCGCAACAGCGCTAACCTACTTTTACTCAGTCGAGCACTACGGGCGGTGGTAAATCATAGAACCCCTGCAATCAGTCCGGTGATGCAATTTACTGCAGGCCTTCCAATTCCGCCGAGTTTTCCGCGCTCCCACGGATCCGGTATTGCAAGGATCATAAAGACATTTCTACCTGTCAAGAACGTGTATGGGTCGGTTAAACACGAACCATGCAATCGGTTCCACGGGCGGATTGCCAACCGAATTGCCATTTTCCCAGCGCATACAGCGATGGCGGCGTTCAAAGCCTTGCAATTCGATGACCCATAGGCGGGCTGTGGCCAAGGAGATTTGATTAGACACAGCTATAGTATAAAAGTCGTCATGTTTGACTGGGACCAAGTTCCCAAATATCCCATCCCCATCAAGCTAAAAATCCCCGTTCAAGATGACGTTCCAAGATCTTGATAGCATCATTGCCCAGCTTACGCTCGCCGAGAAAGTTGGCCTTCTTTCTGGTGCTGGTGCTTGTAGTACCGCTTCATTGGAAAGGCTCAACATTCCCAGCCTTCAAGTAAGATCCTCCAACTGAAGCTCATTGGTAACCCGGCCTTTCTGAAACGTGCAAATAGACTTCCGATGGTCCCCATGGGCTGCGTGGAGGCGGCGGCCGCTTTTTCAACCCCGTGAGTAGTCTTACTTTACCGTATGGACACCAAACAGCTAAGATACCGAAGCCACCAGGATACCAGTTTCCATCAGCTACTGCGATGGGCGCAACATTTGACGTGGACCTACTCTATCGGATCGGGCAACTACTGGGCGATGAGGGCATACGCAAACGCGTGCATGTAGCTCTGGCCCCAACCGTTTGCATTCAACGTTCACCTCTAATCGGGAGAGGATTCGAGGCATTTGCAGAAGACCCAATTCTCAGCGGTACCTTGGCCGCAAACTATGTTAATGGCATCCAGGATCGCAATGTCGGGGCCTGTATCAAGCATTACATGGCGCACGATCAATCCACAAAAGCAACCGAAGATGACGTCCACATGACCCATCGCACACTGCGAGAGATACACCTCATGCCCTTTCAAGTCGCAATGACGAAGTCGAAGCCGTGGGCGATCATGACCGCTTACCAAATGGTCAATGGCCTTCACGTCAGCGAGGACCCATTTCTCATTCAGCAGGTTCTGAGACACGAATGGAAATTCGACGGCCTGGTCATGAGCGACTGGTGGGGAACTTATAGCACTTCAGAGGCCATCAATGCGGGCCTCGACTTGGAAATGCCTGGCCCTAGTATCTGGAGGGGGAAGCAGCTTATGGCGGCAGTGGAATGCCGCAAAGTATCAGTCCAGACCGTAGATGCGGCCGTCAAGAATTTGTTGAAACTCATACGCAGGACAAGGGCTTGGGAAAGTCGCGACAAAGGTGAGGATGGCAACACGGCGGAAAGTCGAGCACTACTGCGGAAGGTCACGGCAGATTCCATCGTCTTGCTCAAAAACCAGAGCAACGTGCTCCCATTGGAAAGAAAAGCAAGCGTTAAATGCGGACTAATCGGCGAGCATTTCTGGAACCCTGGCAATTGCGGTGGAGGAAGTTCTGAGGCAGTCCCGTTCTACATCAACACCCCCTTGGACGCATTCACCGAGATGCTGGGCGACGAAAACATCCGTTACGAGCAGGGGTGCTATAGTTCGTGACCACCTCCTCAGAAAATGCAAAGGGATGGTATTGCTAACTAGTAATAGCTCGAAGGTGGACGCCATTGATACAGTCGGGGCTCTATCTTCCTCATTCGCAAGAACCCGGACTTCTCCTTGAGTGGTTTCGTGATGACCCCTCGACCGTCCAGGGAGCCCCATCCCTGCATTCAACCACTACAAGAAACACTTCGATGTATTTCAGCCAAATGGCTTTCGAGAATGTGCCCGCCGCCCATTTCATTCGCATAACGTCAACGTTTATTCCCGAGAAAACCTGTCGCTATCGATTTGCGCTTAGTGTGTGCGGCAAGGCACGGCTGACTATCAACAACGAAGAGATAATTGAGCTCTGGAAAAGCCACCCAGAGAAAACGGACGACACGCCGTGCTTCAATAAACTTTCCATGGAAAGGTTTGCCGAATTGGACATTGAAGAGGGGCAACATTACGATCTTGTCATAGTCATGACAAATGTCCTTATTACTCCTAGTGGACCGCCATCCCCAGGCGGTGTTCGACTGGGCGGACAGGAACTACGAGATGAGGATCAAGCCATAACCGACGCGGTGAAATTGGCCCGAGAAGTCGACATACCCGTCATTCTGACTGGCCTCAGCTCAGACTATGAGTATGAGGCTTCCGACCGGAAAGACCTATTTCTTCCGGGGCAAGAGAACAGGATGATTGAGCTGGTCTGTCGAGCTAACCCAAATACTGTAAGCTCTCTGACGCTGACGCGGCCGCGAAGAGCGACATTACTAAAGCCTGCAGGTTGTTATTATCCAGGCTGGGATGCCTGTTCAGATGCCGTGGATTGACCATGCCAACACCCTTGTTCACGTCTGGCTGGGTGGTCAGGAGACGGGACATGGGATTACAGATGTTCTTTTTGGGGACGTCAACCCATCTGGCCGTCTTTCTGTGACGTTTCCCAAGCGTCTCGAAGACACACCAGCCTTTCTCAATTTTGGCAAGGTTGACCGGCAAATCGTGTATGGTGAAGGCGTCTTCGTCGGGTACCGATACTACGAAAAGATTGATCGCCCTCCTCTCTTCTACTTTGGATACGGCCTATCTTATACGAAGTTTGAGTACTCAAACCTGAGAGTGCCTGGCACTTTCATTGGGCAAGAAAACCATGTAATGGAAATCTGCGTCGACATCGCCAATACCGGCAGCTACGATGGCTCGGAAGTCGTCCAAGTCTACGTGTCCGACATAGAATGCTCTGTGCAAAGGCCACGGAAGGAACTGAAAGCATTCCAAAAAGTTCGTATTGCCAAGGGGGAAAAGCGGACATGCACTATCTCTCTTGATAAATATGCACTTTCTTTCTGGTCGGAGGAGTACTCTAAATGGAGAGCAGAAGCCGGAGATTACGCCATCATCATCGCCACTAGCGCCGACCCCAACGATGAAGTACTGCAAAAGACTTTTCGGCTCCAGGAGACATTCATGTGGGCAGGCCTTTAGGGTCTGATTAATTGAGGTTAGACCAAAACCATCCAAACTTGGCAATATGAAGGCAAACGAGTCAAAGGAGCGCTAGAAAAGCTCCGGCTGAGGGTAGCTGTGCATGGAGTCTGAACTACTGGGATGATATGACATGCCTAATTCTGAGAAATAAGTGCTTTCAGTGTCTTATCAAGCGATTCTATAACGAGCACACGACCAAGAGGAATCATATGAGACGGACTGTTGCACTTAAATTCTAGCTATTGTAGGTGGTCCTTGTAACCAGACCAGGGCTGTCCCGTTGGTTGTTTCTGAAACTCCTCTCGCAGCATGTGACGACGACAACTTCAAACAGACGCCATACCGATACAAAAGGTCCCAAATCGAGACTGGCTTGTCAATTTGCGCAGATTATGCGAAGCTATGGATCGATAAGGTATTTCAACTGGTGAAATGGCTTTGAATCTTCAGGGTCAGCCGCCACTTCCTCGTCCCTTTCGTCTATGGGCTGAGAGAACTCCAGCATAAATCGCAGCATCCACCTGTCTAGACGGAATGGACTGTGTCTGCTTTTCAAACATGCACTATGAAATGTTCGAAGTCTGCTGAACGAAGCAGACACGTTGGGCCAGTATGTGTGAAGGCGTGATATCATCTCAAAGTTCCGCTCAAGACGAACCTTGGCGAGCGCAATCTTGTTTTCGTCCACGCTGAATAGAAGGCTGTGTATCTGGACTGTTGAGGTCATGACAAGTACATGGCCTATGAGAGTGTATCGAAGGTCGATGCCGTGCTGCTCTCTCGCCTGGTAGATGAGCTCGCAAAGCGCTGCAGCATGGTGTTTGCATTTGTCGGCGTAGGTTTGTGCTGTATCAAGCGAGTAGCCTCCATTGGCGGCTTGACTGAAGTCAAGAAATTGGTAGAAGAGTAGCTGCGCTGCATGGTTGTAATTGATGTGAAGGGCTAAGAAGATACGCCCGAAGCCTTGTTCAGCCCAATATGACATATTGGCCTCTGTGTACTGCATCCGGGAGGGCAACTTAGACAACCATTCGTCGAGAGAGGCGGACAGGGATTCTATCAGACTCTCAACCGAGTCGATCTGCAAGCGCTCATCCACGATGATGGCATTCAGTTTGTAGATCTCGTAGAGAAGTTTGTTGAGCTTAACGAGACGAGCAAGTGCTGATAGCGAAGGCTTTGCAGTTTGGCTTAGCCGTCCGTCGTCTGATGGGTCTGTGATAAATTGTGTAGCTGGGCTCATCTCTGCAAATGTCCATTCATCCACAGGCAATGGATCGCTGTCTTGAGGATTAACCGCTCTGGGCAGGCAGAGGCTGCCCGAGTTCCACGTGTCGGTAGTAACTATTGACCACCAAACTGCCGAAGGATTCAGTTTTATCACTGAAGTTCAAGGATACGTACTCTCTACTTACCTCTTCGGTTAATTTCCTGTTCAAGAGGAGTTTTGGTCAAGGCGTTTGGCAGATCTAATAGCAAGGCCATCCGAGCAGCGATAGCAAAGTAGACGCACTCTGTCCGGGACTCCCCTTCAACAACGAAATTCAAGCCCAGTAACATGCAAGCCTGGATTGTCGTCAAAGACACGACGTGCAGGTCCAGTACTCTCTCCGCTTCTTTCACGTAGGGTCTGCCACGCTCCCAGGGGTCAATGTTGCTTAGACTCGGGTGCCGCGAAAAGCGAGCAGAAAGGCCAATGACTCCATAAAAGAGTATCGGGGGAACTGTCCCATTTCTGACATCTGCCATGAAAGAAGGCTCATGGAACAGACTTGGAAAACCACCCTGGATATACTGAAAGTATAGCCTAACCAGCTCTTCTGACAAGTCTTGACTTAAAGGCCCAGTTGATGCAGAACCTAGGTTAGTGTCAATCCGGTGGTGCTTGAGCAGTCCATAGGCCTTGTCCGACTCGGCATCAAGTTTGGGGCTCATTGAGCATTCAAGTTTTCTTTTGATGCAAAATTTGCAACTTGTTCCTCGACGGGGACGTTCACATCTCTTCCGGCGCTCGCTGCCATCCACGCCATGTCAGCGCACTGGCTTGGGAATGTACTCTTCTGGGGAGAACTCACCGGCAAGCGAGACAAGCTGACAAGGGCCTCATGATTGTTTGATCTACCACGCGGCAGGCCCGGGAGCTAATTGTCTCCACCTGAGGACATATGGTGACTGGCAAACACGGCAAGTTCTGTTCATCTGTGCTTGGTTGCTTGGTTGTTGGCAGATCAGTGCGGGGACTGGACTCCTCTGGCCATCTGTATTTGCGGGGATGAGTTATTCCGGTGGGATTGTCACCACGTGATTCTGTTTCCTTGGTAATGGCACTCCCAAGTTCGTCCTCAAGCAGTCTAGGTCATTGTTTGATGAGGTACCCTGTATGTTGCGTGGGCATGTATTAAATCTTTAGCTTTCCTTGGTAACATTTCATTATAAACACGCTGAATGCACTGAATGTCTGAACATGATAGCCCTTCATGGTTACAACATCCCACATCAGTGGCCGTGAGGCTCGCTGGCAAGAAGCGGGTTTGCCTGATGCTTCCGACTGCGGCACGCGCACTGCTCTACACGAATAAGACCGCAGACGACTCTAACTCGGATTGGACGCCAGAATATTCATCGTAAGGGCTCGTCGCTGTCAGCTCCGCAATACGTGAATACGCGACTCCGCAATGACGTCTCCGCAATATAATCCTTGTCGTAGTCAGGTGTAGTGCCGTTTTCAATTCCGACAGTTTACCGCCGAGCCAGCGAGCCAATCATCTAGATTCTGCGTGAGGGGTCGTGCGGTTAAAAGCCTTCCAGGCCATAGTCTACCAAGTGAGGACCGGGGTCACATCGCCAAGTGCAACACGCGGAAGCAGTGTAACCGAGATAAGGCCTATAATGATGGATATTGTATTCCATGGGCCACAGCCGTGGAAATTGGAATTTGCCTTGATTTTGGTGCGCTGCGAGGCGGCTTTGCAACTATAAGAACTTCAACTGCCCGGCCTTTCGGCGTGAGTACGCCTAAGTCGTACGTCAGAACACCTTGCAGTCCTGCGTTCTCGGACCTCAGAAAGCTTACACCTTCTTATCGTTTGTTTATGTATTTGTGGCACCAATCTCTCATACTCCTTTACATTCCGTAGTAATGTCGTTTCCCAGGAGCCAGCCAGATTGGAATAATCGTGAGGTTATCCATCGGAACACATTGCCAGCGAGAGCCCATTTCTTCTCCTACTCCACCGAAGAAGCGGCATTGACGTTTGAACGCCAACTGAGTGAGTGGCGTTCGCTCAATGGTACATGGAAATTTCGGCACGACCAGTCGCCTTTCGAGGCCCCAGAATGGGTAGACCAAGATCCTGCACTCTGGAGCGACATCGCCGTACCTGGCATGTGGCAACTCCAGGGATATGGGAGGCCGCTTTATTCCAACGTCAACTATCCTTTCCCAGTTGACCCTCCAAATGTTCCACATCTCAATGAGACTGGCTCTTACTGGCGTCAATTCGATCTTCCACCAGAATGGACCAGTCATCAGGTTCGGCTTCGGTTTGAAGGCGTCGACAGTGCGTTTCACGTCTGGGTCAACGGGCAGCAGGTCGGCTATAGCCAGGGAAGCCGCAATGCCAGCGAGTTTGATATCACGGCATACTTGAAGGCCTCTCAAAACACCTTGGCCGTCCGCGTCTACGAGTTCTGCGACGGATCATACCTCGAGCGACAAGACCAATGGCTACTCTCCGGTATATTCAGAGACGTCTATCTCGTCTCATTCCCCCGAGACTGCATCGTCGATTTCAGCTCCATTCCAGAACTAGACGACGCATTTTCCACCGCTACCCTACGTACGAGCGTGAAGGTACAAGGGCAAGCGACCGGCACTATTATCCTCAAGCTCCGCGGTCCAGATGGATCCTTAGTCAGAAAGGATAATATTGAAGCGTCTGGGACAAGCACAATTCATGTGTCGGGGACAGCTCTCAGGCTTTGGTCCGCTGAGGATCCAGCTCTGTACACTCTCACTCTATCCTTCAACGGTCGCGTAATTCCCCAACGCGTAGGATTTCGCCGCTCTGAACTGAAGGACGGCAACATGCTCATCAACGGGAAGCCTGTGATTTTCTACGGCGTCAACAGGCACGAGCATCATCCGCGATTTGGCAGGGCCGTTCCCTACGAATCCATGCGAGCAGATCTGCTCTTGATGAAGAGGAGCAACATCAATGCCGTCCGCTGTTCGCATCAGCCAAATGATCCGCGCTTGTACGAGGTATGCGATGAATTGGGTCTTTACGTCATGGCCGAAGCAGACCTTGAAACACATGGATTCTTGACTATTGAGAGAAACAACATTTCAGCCAAGGAGGCTTTGTCCATGACACGTACCCAAGTCATGATCCGGGCCTTTGCACTCTCGGCAAAATGGGCGTCTGACAACCCTGATTGGCGCGAGGCTTACCTCGATCGCGCTTTGCATCTCGTCGAGCGATTCAAGAACTTCTCTTCCATTGTCATGTGGTCTCTGGGCAATGAGGCATCGTACGGCCGAAACCTCGCCGACATGTACCACTGGGTCAAGAAAGCAGATTCAACACGCCCGGTGCATTACGAAGGCGACCGACAGGCGGTGACAGCAGACTTGTACAGTGTCATGTACACGCCGGTTGATGAACTGCGCAAACTTGCTTCCGAAAGGATAGACAAGCCATTAATTCAATGCGAGTTCGGCCATGCCATGGGAAATGGACCAGGCGGCTTATCCGACTACATTGAGGCTTATAGGGCTGAGAAGCAGCTACAGGGGGGCTTTATTTGGGAATGGTGCAACCATGGCCTCCTAAAGAAAGAAGGCGACTTGGAATACTACGCCTATGGTGGAGACTTTGGAGACTACCCCAACGATGGCGACTTTGTCCTGGATGGCCTTACCTGGTCCAATCATACTGAAGGGCCCGGTCTGACGGAGTACAAGAAGGTCATTGAGCCCGTCACAGTCAAGCTAGTTGGCCAGCAACTCGAGATCACCAATCACTATGACTTCAGTGATTTGAGCCATCTGTCGGCGATGTGGCACGTCGTGAAAGAGTCTGGCAACAGTGAGCCCACCATCTTACAGCTGCCTGTGGTCAGGGCAGGGCAGTCCAAGCTCATCGACGTCCCTTTGCCTCTAGATCAGTACACCGAGCCCTCATGGCTGGAGATCAGCCTGCGCCTCAGAAACAACACGGCGTGGGCGGCGAAGGGTCATGAAGTTGCCTGGAGTCAGGTTCCCCTGTACAAAAACGACCAAGTTCTTCGCCTCGGGCCGGTGCTTTCAGCAGAGCAGGGAGAAGCTACCATTCGAGAACTGCCTGGGCGGCTGCTGATAGAATTCCCATCGTCCAAGTCTTGCTTCATCTTCGACTTGGTACGTGGGGGCTTACAGTGGTCTAGAGAAGCAGAAACCATCGTGAACAGAGGGCCCGAACTTGGCATATACCGCGCTCTAACACAGAATGACCTTGGAGCACGTGGTAACGGAGGCGAGTGGAAGAAGCTTTTCCTCATGGCAACAAAGATGCACATCAAAAAGGCTGAATGGAGAGTCGTCGAGGATGGAGCTGTGAGCTTGAATGTGTCGGTCAGGGTGGCACCTCCAGTTCTCGAGTGGGCATGCGATGCAACCATGAGCTTCCACGTCACGGCGAACGGCCTAACAATCCATACAAAAGGGAGCTTCTCTGGAGCACACCCTGAATTCATTCCCCGTATTGGTCTCACGCTGGCGCTGCCAAAAGACTACAGCCAGGCAACCTGGTTCGGACGGGGTCCTGGCGAGTCGTACCGTGATAAAAAGGACTCGGCTCGATTCGGCACATGGAATGCTTCCTTGGACCAGCTACAGACAGTTTACGAGTGGCCACAAGAGAATGGGAACCGGACTGACGTGTTTTGGGCTCGATTTCGATCCGCTCAGAGTGGAACATGCCTCGAGGCGCGCATGCAGACGCCATTCAGCTTCTCTCTGAGAAGGCATACAACGGAGGATTTAGACCAGGCAAGACATCCGCATGAGCTATTGGAAGCTAAGGATAACATATTGAACCTTGACTATGTTCAGCATGGCTTGGGGTCTGGCAGTTGTGGACCGCCGCCCTTTGAGCAGTATCGTTTATCTTCGACACCCTTTGAGTTTACCACTTCTCTCCAGCTAGTATAGTCAATAAGAACAGCGGTTAGAAGTTTAAACCTAGTATTTTTATTAATGATCAAGTTTTATTGTGATTGGGAGAGCGGCAGACAAGCACTTAAAACTTAACTGATGCCCAGTCACAGCGGATATGACGAATAAATGTACATACAGAGAAGTTTACAGGAGTATATAAATGGCACATTTGGTAACGCCGTACGAGGTTCGAAATATTGCTAGTCACCAAGGCAGGCAGCCTGCGCCAGGCCATAATACTGAAAAACTGTAGTATTCCTACTCTTCTTGGACCACTAAGTAAGACAAGGGCTGCGAGTATGAAGTACTTGAAGATCATGGCACTGCCGACAAAATGCACTTGTATCCACATTTGAGAATAGAAAATCCCCGACCTGTCGCAACACAGGTCTCAACCAGCAACATCTGTTGTAAAAACATGTCAAACCCGTTCTTTCTCGATTGCGGCAGCCTTGGAACTGACAACTTCCACGGCAGCCTTGTCGCCTTCCATAACAAGCGCCATTTCCTCCAGGCTGGGTCCTTGTGTTTCTGGGAAGAAGAAGTAGACGATAGTAGTCTCAATGACCAACCATACAACATAGGCGAGAAAGAACTTCCACCCAATGTTTTCCATTCCAATGGGATTGATAAATTGGTTGAAGACAGAAGCGAGTCGCACAGACATTTGCATGACAGCGATGCCTTTGGACCGTAGAATGAATGGAAAGATTTCGCCAATATAGAGATATTGGAAGGGCTGCATGAGGTTGTAACTGGCATTGAACAGGAATATCAGCGCAACGACTGCAATGGCGGCGGATTTGTTGCTGCCATCTTCAGCATATACACCAGAACAAGCTGTATAGCAGGCGAAGAGGGTTGTCATGCCGATATATGCGGACATCAGTTGCCTGCGGCGCAACACCCAGCCAGCCATCCAACTAGAACACAACGCAGTAACCAGGTTCCAACAGTTGATCCCCACGTTGAGCTGGTTCTGTGTGGACCGAGCCGTGATGCCAACTAGAGCAAGGATCTTTGCCAGGTAGTAGCTGATCAGCCCGTTTCCAGACCATTGAGTAAAGAAACCAACACAGATGGCGACGAATACTCGGTGTCGGTTGGCTTTGGTGCTGACAAGATCTTTCCAGGGATTGGTAGAGGCTTCCTTTTCTTTTCGCAAAGTCTCTCGGATCTGAAAGAACTCTGCGGCAACGAAGTTCGACGATTCGTCACCTTCAGCATGATACTTGATCAGGATCTGAAGAGCTTCGTCGTGACGGTCCTTGGAGATAAGCCAACGGGGAGATTCTGGGACGAACCTTGGCAAATGTTAGCACTTGAGGGTACTTACGTCAAGAATTGCACACATAGCGACTTACCAGATGAAAGCGATCGTAAATAATGACGGAAGAATTTGAAGCAGAGTGGGAAGCCTCCAACTCCAATGGGTCGTCCAATTGTAGGTGCCAAGTGTGACTCCCGCAGCGAGGATAGAGCCAGCATACCAAGTACCTTGGAAACAGCCAACAATAGTAGATCGTTCTTTGGGATAGGCAAGTTCGACAACAAGCTGTGCAGCGCCAGCAAGGGAGAGGGGGGATCCAAGACCCATGATGATACGGGAGGCGATAAACATGCCGACTGATTCGAGTTAGCGAGAGATACGGAAGACAAGAGTTGTCCAACTCGACACCTACCATTGACGGCACAGGTTTGAAGAACCACCCCAATGGCGACGATGACGGAGCCCAGAATAACACAAAACCTGCGACCATATCGGTCGTTGAAAAAGGGCATATATAGGACGCCGAAGGCGGTACCGATGGCCAGAGACGATGTCATGACACCAAGGGTTGCACCGTGTGGGTTTCCATAGTGCTCATTCCACAGGTCAACCGCTTGCAAACCGTTCAAAACGCTCCCGTCATAACCGGTGGTCATCTCGACGCCCAGAGCCGCTGGGATGAGCAACAAGTAAAGCCTGAGCAGGTTGGGTTTCTTGTACCATGGCGTTAAGTCTTCGCCAAGCAGCCGCTTGACTTCAGAGGCTGCAGCGACGTCGCCGGCATTGTTATGCTTGGACATGGCCAGATTTTATATGGCACGCAAGGGAGATGGAGTTGAGAAATAGAGAACCGATGAGTTTGAGAAGAAAAAAGAAGTCTGGGGAAGTTGGTTGCTGAATCCGGGGTAAGTCGGGTGATGCACGATAATATATATATCCCGATAATCAACACGGAGATCCCAGTCCATGCCACTCTGTGGGGCTCATGCACGAATTGTCCTTTCTAGCACTCGGAATATGGGGTAAAGAGGCCCGATGAGCCTAGCCCTGTATTAACCCCTACATAAAATGCTCTAGAAAACAACCTAAGCCATCGTGATCGACTCTAGCGAATGAGCGGACTCGGCTAATTTGGGTAAGCTAGTTTATGGGCAAGCCAGGGTTTTCCGCCGTTCTCCGACAGACTGCAATGATCTGGAATCATCTGATTGTCTCCCGCACTCCCAACAGCCAGTGGCGTCAGTTGAACCGCACCAGTCAATACCTCGGCCGCTCAGTCAGGGGTGCCAAATATTCGAGGGCAGGCTTGTTTTCAGGCTTCTTGCTATTCCAACTTGAGAGACCCATAGTGCCGGCTGCTCGGGTTCACCGGCACCCCGGATTTTGTTAATTGGCCTCGACTCTTAAGAACGCGAGCGGGGAAGCCGTCGGAAAACGAGGCGGAGAATCCATGTCTGTTCCCTGTGTCCACGAGGTTCCAGGCCCACCATGTGGCTGTCCACCGTATAGAATACGAGTATCCGGTTAATTAGCAAGGGCTCGGAGAAAGCGCGTGACAGAACCACCAAGTAGTTGGAGTCGAACGACCGGCGGACTGAGGGTCGCTCAGCCTGCGTGAGACGCTTCGATCTTCTTTAATTGCACCACGGGACTACTATCCCGCACCAATGCTTATTTTCTCCTGCGTCTGTATTCCTATACATCACAGTGTACAGCCCCGACCTCGGCAAGTTGGGCAAGCGTAGTGAAGCTGCTCGTATCCGCTCCAGTCACCCAGCGAGCCAAATGATACCACAACCGGACGAATTATAGCCAGTCTCAAATACAAGGATTTCATGTTAGCCTGAAATAAGAAATATGAGAGAATGAATAACTAAGTCGAGTGCTTAATCGGGTCGGAGTTGTGTATAAATAGGACGGCGATGCGCGTTGCAACATCATAGAACCTTGCACAGCACCAGTCCTCACAGCACCAATCGCACAATATAAACTGTCGATAGCTCTTCCAATTCCCCGTCTCATCCCATTTACGCTTGAAAATGTACCATCCCAGTCTAGCAAGCCTCGTGGCTGCTTCGCTCTGGATTACTGGGACAGCGGCAGGCAGCTCCGGTGGACAAGGATTTTGTAAGCTCCCAGGAGCGTCTCTTTTTCCTCCTCCGCCTCGGCCAGAGCCGATTTCGATTGTCGAAATGCCCTTGCCGCCATCCATCAGTGATGACCACGTTGGTGCTTGCACGAAGAAGCTCAACCCTCGAGGAACGGGCTGTATCAAAATTGTTTTGACTGGAGACGATTCACTGCCGCTGGGAGGCACCTTCACTCCGGATGGCAAAGCCCTCGTCGCCACCGTCAACTACACTGGCGCCCCGGCTGAACCTCACCCCGCGAGCATCTATACCGGTGTACAGACCATTCTGATCAAAACAGACAACACTTTGTTTCCGAACGGCGACCCTTGGAAGTGCATTACGTGTGGCGTGCCGGCAGAGAACCAAGTCGGCACTGATCGAGCGCTGCAAGACTATCCCCGAGTCTTCAAGGATGGGAAGAGGATTCTCGTGGGCACCAACATTATCCATACTGGCGGCTACCCAGTCACTAGCAACCTAGTCAAGCCCAAGAACACCTTCATCTACCCCATACGCTGGCCTGTAACCGCTGACGATTCGGGCCCGTCCGGCTCTATGCGCGAGCTACGCCTACATCCCGACGACACTCACCTGTCTTGGAACAGTTTCGCTGGCAGTGACCAAAACGGTTTCTATGGCCGGCTCGAATTCAATCCTGCCCCGACTACAGGAGTTCCGCTGGCCCCACGATACGATCTCTCAAGTGTCAACCTCATCCGCGCGGCGAATGGCAAGCGGCTTCTCAGTCTGGAAGACGGCAAAGCGAAACTCAACTTCTCGGCCATCGAAGTTGGAGAGCTGCGCGGCTTCAGCGGCAGTGGTAACGAGCTGATCTACATCGGCTATCCTTGGGAGGCATGCAACTTCGATGGCTTTGCCGTCAATATCCAAACAGGCGCTATTCGCCGTCTGACTGCGCACCCAGAGTACGTAGATCCTATGGATATCTCAGCCGACGACAAGTGGACTGCTGCATTGGACACGCGTATTTCTGATAGAGATATGTTCATGGCGGGCATGCGCAGCATTCCGCCGCTGAGCGACATGATGACGAGTTCTGTCTGCTCTTCGGTCCGCAACAACGGGTTCCGGCGCTTCTTCCAACCGATCCTGATTGACAAGTACGGCGATCGTGGCGATTACTTCGGCCAGCAAATCAACGCAGCAGGCGACGGCAGTAACGGAGCCATCAATGACCCTAACTGGAACGCCAGAGCCGACCCGCATTTCTCTCTCGATGGTACAAGACTTATGTACTACCAAACTCTTGTCAAGACTCCCGCGTGTGGAGGTGCGAATCCGCTCCCGTGCCCAGTATCAAACGCACCCGATGGCCGCACCACCCGCTTCATGATGGCCACATTTACCAGCCGCACTCCGTACCCAGTGCCCAAGTTCGAGATGGGCCCTGATGTAATCCCCTGGGCAACACCATACACCCCAGGCATGAATATACCTGCACGCGGCGGCTTTGCCCCCGGTAACTACACATACACTGGCAAATATTGCGGCAAGGCGAGCATTGCCCTTTTTGCTCCGGCTGGTTCCAATAGTCCCAACCGGGTAAGAGTCGAATTTAACAACTTGTCTGATGATGGAGAGACGATACTCAACGGATACGAGGATATCACATTTTCGTCGCTAAGCACGTGGATGGTTGTAAATGACTGGTATTCGGACATTGTGCAGACGGGCAAGATCAATGGCACTAAGAAGACCGGCCCGGGTGGCTTCCACATCGTGATGGACGTTACAAAGAACGATTTTAACGCTACTGGCACCATGACGACCACGTTGAATGGGAAGGAATATCTTCAGCCAGCTAACTTTACCTAAAGGTTAAGCAATTGGTTCACAGCTTCACCTCATTTAAGCGTTTGTTCCAAAATCCATGGATGTTGGGGCACCAAATTTTACTAGCAGGCAGGGAATGGATTTTGAGGCCCGAAGCCACTAGATGGGGTCTGCAGTGAAGCACGATAAGCCGGAGTGGAAGGGTGGGAGTCACGTCACTTCCTGGGGACGGTGTTTCTTTAGGGTGCGTTCAAGTGTTATTTAACAGGTCAATGTATCACTTCGCCATACATCGTCAAAACAGAGGTGTTTAACCAAATTGTGTTAATTGAATGTCTCTTGAAGGTGTAGGGAGTAGCTTTCACAAAGGAGCCACTGATGTGGTAGCAGCAATCCTCAAATGGAAGAAAAGACTGCAAAAACCACCCTCTATTGGGACAGCAAGCACGAAATTCCTTGCTATCTCCATGGAGCGGTTCTCTGCCACAAAAAATCAAACACATAGGGGGTTAAAATCAGGACGGAGAACTTGGTAGTTGTGGAGTCTCTGCCCAGAGGTTAGGAAGTGCTTCGCGGGGGGAAACGAAGACAAGGGGGTCATGGGACTGTGCGTTCTAATTGTTATCTCGGCTGGTAGTATCCAGTATCACTGTTTGTGAGTATGTCGAGCTATAACTATCGGATCGTTGACTTCGTCGGCAGGGTAGGCTATGATGAGCCTCAGTAGGGCGAGGTCTACAACCAAATCAGTACTATACACTGTACAACTTGTAATAATGGGTCTGATTCCTTTTGCAGGTAGGATAAGTCAGTCTACCTATAGCAGGCCCGGCTAGTCTTGTAACTAGAGTTACTAAAGAGGTAGGTTCTATATAGAGGACCCGTGTTATATATCTAGGATAAGTTAAGTGATTACCGTATCCTCTATAGGGCCGCTGATAAATGGATTCATAATGTCTGCAGTCGGTACTTGCAGGACTTGATTTAGAATACAGCTTTCTACTGCTGTAAACAGAGCTTACAGTGGTGTAAAGTGCTTGCCTGCTCTCTACTGGAGCTGCCGACACATTGCCTTCAGGGGCGACCTCGAACGTAAAACTACAAACTGGCTGCCAGAAGGGATGGCTTTTAGTCGATGCATGGGGAGCTATCCAACCAGGGGTGATCGAATTATATTGTAAGCTCCTAATTTGACCAACCATTCATTTCTCATACGCTTCTTTAAAGTCGGCACAAATTAACACCATTTCCTGATCGTAGCTTTAATCCGGCTGCACTGATTTGAGGTTAGCGCCCGAAATCTCTGCGGTCGAGAGGATGTTAATTCTCGTCCTCCGTACGTAAGGATTCCTGGTGATGATAGTATGAGCATTAGTCGTGGTTTAAAGGTACATTGCCTTTTAGCTTAGTTCAGGGCTCCGTCGGGTAAGCAAGGACACCATCGATTCATCTTCCCCTCGACTACAGACAAGCCTGATCTAGTTTCCTGGTCTATCTTGCCGGATACTCCATGGGTGTCAGTAAGAGGTGGGCAGATGGCAATATCGGCCTTGGGTTCAAAGTCGACAATACCAGGAGCATCAGGTTGAATTTTCAGAGCTAGAAGGGGGTAAGTCTGGCTAGAACCCAAAAGTAAGGCTTCCACGATGCCCCTTCCAACCCTCAAAGTATTGTACGATAGTAGGACTATAGGAGGCCGTGCCCACTAAGTATAGGGGCCGTGCCCACATGGGAGGCTTACAACGGGGTACAACAGTAAAAACTCAATCCTGTACGATGATCCCATCTCATCCTATTAGCAGCAATGCTTTCCACGATAAGCGTTCGAGGGCTTGAGTCACTTGAGTTTGGCAATTTAACTGTCGGGCCGCTATACTCTATGGAGCGTAGAGTCTGGGGTTTCCTACAGATTGCCAAGACGCTACCGATGACGAATGTGTCGAATTATTACGATAATCCTCGGGCCCTGGCTGCCTGAGGCCACAACCGCGAGACCCGCGGCTGTGGGCTACGTTCAACATCAATCTATCCGAGGTTTCGTCATACAGGGTCATCATCCAACAAATGCCTATAATGATTTCATAAGATTTTATAAGCTAAATTATAGTTTATTTACTCGAATAAATACCAATCCGACTGAGTGCGCTGAGACGGCTCTCATAGGATATCTTATACCAACTTGTAGTGGTAACACCCTCAAATCCATGAGGAAGACCAGGCCACAGGTGAAACTCAACCTCGACATGATCCTTAGCCAAGCGGGCAGCATATGCAATATCCTCGTCTCTGAACAGGTCCAGCGTTCCAACATCAATATACGTGGGTGGAAGGCCCCGCAGGCTCTTTGCTCGCGCTGGGGCGGCGTATGGCGAGATCTCGGCGTTGGGCTTTGCGCGGTTATCTTCGCCGACGTACGCATTCCAGGCGAGGATGTTGTCGTTCGACCGCCAGGACAAGAACTCAAGCATGGGATCATTTGCAGGGAGCTCGGTGCGATCATCCAGCATGGGGTAGATGAGGATCTGTTTCGCCAGGGGCGGGCTCAGCTGGCGGTCTCGGGCGATGAGAGCTGTACCAGCAGCAACGCCGCCGCCCGCGCTGTCTCCCTGGAGGGCTATCTTGGTGGGGTCGACGTTGAGCTCCTTGGAGTGCTCGGATACGTACTGGAGTGCGGCGTAGCAGTCTTCCGCCGCGCAGGGGGCCGGGTTCTCAGGGGCCAGGCGGTAGCTCACGGCAAAGTAGGGAAGGTTGGTATCGTCAGCGAGGCGGGCAATCTGAGGAGCGTAGATCTTGACGTTACACGCGACAAGGCCACCGCCGTGGGCGTAGATAACAGCCGGTGTAGGGCTTATGGAGGCCGAGGCCTTGTCGGGAGCGAAGCGCGTGACTTGGATCTCGACTCCATCGTAGCTGCGGAGCGTGAAGATAGTTTCCTTGATGCTGGATGGGTAGGGGGACGCGCCTAGGATCTGAACCATGATGGGATTGATAAACTCGCGGATTTCAAGGGCAGTCTTGAAAAGGGGCGGTTTGGCGCCTGTTCGAGTTGGCTCGATGGCCTTGAGATATTCGGGATCGAATCTGAAGGCAGTCATGTTGAGTGTGGTGTCGTTTGGAACTTGAGATTTGGAGCGATGGGAGAGTGAAGAGAGGGCTTGATGTGATGAGCGAGAAGATGCCAACCCTTTATGGAAACTCCAACTTTATTTGTTCCTTTATTACTCATCCCGTCTCATTAACGCTGTCTAATGGGGAAAGCTAAAAGTGCAGCTGACACCCTCCGCCTAGGCTGCGAAAAGGAGCTCGGAGAAAGAAAGCAACATTCTGCTTGCACGGCATCACGACAAGAAGGTGTGAAGTCTGGGCTTCTCTCATCTCTCAGGCCATTTGAGTTGGGTTCGGCGTGACACTGGCCGACCGGGTAGTTACATTGAGCCGCTTCCGGATATTCGCTTTCGTATAAGCGCCAGATCCACCCTTAAAGTCCGAGTATTGCTGGTTTGCAAGCAGAGTGCCGAATCATGATGAAATTGTGCACAGTATGTCTCAAATTCCGCAAAAGTCCGCAAAGCACCAAGGCGGACGACCGGCAATAATACTTTGAATCAGAGGAAGTGTATAAGTGATGTCAAATGGTCCCTGCGTTTATTATAAGCGCCGGAATTAATATAATCAGCTACTAAGGAAAGAAACAATTCATCTTCGTTCGCCTTCTCCGAGGACCAAGTATACTATGCCAGGCAACAATGGCAGATCCCGCGAACGCACAACTTCAAGCCAGGGAGTCGTGCGGTGACGGCCCACCCGTTGTTGATCTTGTTGACAACGTACGATCCAATTTGTCCTCTGAAGTCCGCAAAGAAAGCGGAGGGTGTTCGTGTTGGCTCCCGACTCGTTGAAGTTAAGGGATATAGCTACTGTTCTGTTGCCGTGGCATCCGCATGCCTGGCTCAGCACGTGCGTGAATTGACGACGGCAAGATATTAACCTTTATGGGGATAATTATTAAAACGGAATGGTAACTGGAGAGATTGTGTAGCTGTACTAAAATCTTTGGTCCGTCTCGGGCGCCGTAAAAGAAGGTTCCGCCCTTAGTGTTATTAATTATCATGATCCTAGTATCCCACTCGGTGTAATATAGTGGGATGGAGATGTTCCGGAATTTTTGAGCGGGCCAAAGCTTAATATTGTAAAGCCATATATCGAGTTGAATATGACTAATCGGCCGGCTTTTATTACGTGAATTGATATTTGTTCGGCGTCTCAGGGTCGAAAGTCCCGATGTTGCGGAGCGGCGGAGAGCAATACGAGAACACCAAATCTTCTATTTCCCGCTCCGCAATAATCCTCAGGGATCATTGCCTGTCATGTCACTTCCGTACCAGTGATGCTGAGATGACCGTTCCGTTGTATTTATTCGCGTTCGGCCGCTTTCTTGTCCCCTCTCGTGATGTCAACGCAACGCTGAAGCGACACTGACAATATGCGGTGCGGGAACCTTCTCGTGTGCTTCGCGTCCTTGGCAGTCGCCTCGGCCTTCAGCTCCCCTCCCCGGGCCGCAGCGACAGCTTTGGATAAATTCACTCTTCGAGTACCCGACGAACATATCAGGGAATTCCAAACCATCCTCACCGTGTCGAAAGTAGGCTCCAAGACATGGTACGACGACCGCGGCGACTCGACGTTTGGCACGACACGGCGTTGGCTTGCCGGGGCGAAACAGGCCTGGCTCAAGCTCAACTGGCGCAAGCAAGAGAAGCGCATTAACTCGGTACCCAACTTCAAATTCACCGTCAATGACGCCGACGTCGGAGCTACCACCCTTCACTTCGCTGCTCTCTTCTCTACCAAGGAGGACGCGATTCCACTCCTGTTCCTTCACGGTTGGCCCGGGTCGTTCCTTGAGTTTCTCCCCATGCTGGACCTGCTCCGCAAGAAATATACCCCGGAGACCCTACCCTACCACATTATTGTACCTTCACTCCCGCACTACGGACTCTCTGGCGGCCCATCACATGTGGAGCTCACGCTAGACGCAGCAGCGCGCCTCTTGCATCAATTGATGGCAGACCTTGGGTTTGGCGACGGCTTTGCTGTCCAGGGAGGCGACATTGGAAGCTTTCTGGCTCGGATTTTGTGTGCCGAATACTCGACATGCAAAGCGTTTCACAGTAAGTCACCCCCATTATGAAGAGGAACTTGGTGCTTGGGCTTTCACTAACGAGCTATAGTCAATATGCTGGCTCCTTCGTCCCCGGATGAACTCCTCAGCTCCGATAACCTAACGCAGGAGGAAGTAGATCATGTCCAGCGCATGCTGAACTTCAGCACGACTGGCTCGGCGTACATCCTAGAGCACGGCCAGCGACCCTCCACCATCGGCCTAGCCCTCTCCTCAAGCCCTCTTGCGCTATTGTCCTGGTAAGCTACCCCGCGGGTCTTGGCTTGAAACCGTGGCTGACCCTTCTCAGGATTGGCGAAAAACTCATCGAGTGGCCCGATCAGCGATATCCTCTACCTCTTGAAACGATTCTAACACTAGTGAGCTTCTACTGGTACACCGACACTTTCCCGAGGAGTCTGTATCCGTACCGTGCCCTGGCAGCTTCTGCGTCCTCGGGGGGGTTCTTCTCAGTCCCAACATCCAAGGAAAAGCCGTTCGGGTATTCGGTGTTCCCGGCAGAGAACATTCTGGTGCCCGAAGCGTGGGCGGAGCAGATCTATCCCAACCTGGCGTTCTATAAGAGACATGACAAGGCACGTATCGTCCGAATTTTGAGTTTGCACCGTAATTACCACCTGCTTATCTTACCATACGTACTAATACAATATCTATAGGGTGGACATTTCGCGGCACTGGAGCAGCCTGAAGCCCTCCTGCAGGATGTGGAAGAGTTTCTAGCAAAGGCTTGGCTCACCCAAACTTAATGTAAAGTGCTGGGCTCGAGGGGGGGTCTCGATTCACACTCTCGACCAATTAACACAAGCACTAAAGTCCAAGATGAGCCCAAGAACTTGAGTTCCTGGGCCTTCCCATCCTTCTCTCGTTTCTTTTTCCTACCCTGTTTTAGGATACACATTACATAATCGCCCAGCTAGTTAATATACTCGGTTGGATCGTTATGCTAAGGACTTAATAAAATATTTGGAGAGAATCTGGCCTTTAAGCAGACCAGTTATATCCCACTAAGCTTAGCTAATAAATGTACGAAGAGGTAGAGGGAAGTGAGTGTTTGATGGGTGATATGTGGGAATATAGAAGTAATGGAATCCGGAAACAAGTTAGCAAGCGCGCCCTATCCGCATTTCTTCTTAAGCGTAATAAGCTTCAATGATTCACCGTCGGCATTCCCAGAGGTGGAGGTCGCCGGGAGGTGGCACCTCTCGGCCTCGTTATATAATAACTCCGTCAGAATGGCGATCATAATTACTCATTCAACATTTTCGGCCGAAGTTCCGAAAACGGACGAAAATTCATTCTAAAACCATGGCATCAACTGTATGTCAGCTATTACGTAGAGGTATTTGGCTGTCTCCGTTGAGATTCCCACAAATCCAGCAACCTGGATCGGCTGATATGAGAGCCAGTGGGTTCAAGGTGCTGAGCACCAGGCGGTTCCGCCCTGCGTTCCTAAGGTACGGCGTAGTGCATTGTCGACATTTCACGGGGCGATTACATCTACTGCCCTCATTCGTCCTCTCATTTAGATGGACGAGTTGTAATACTGCAACACGATGATATGGATAGCACTAAAGAGTTCTCAATGACACCCGCCGTGCAATTCATACGAAACTGTCCACCCCCTCCACTTCTTCCTCCCGAAGGCCAACGGCCCCGAGAGACGGGATTACATGTCCTCGACTTCGTCAAACCAAGCGTGTGTGCTAATTCGCACCTCGGATGTCGTCTAAACTCATCGCAAGATTTCCTGCCATTGGTGACCATCCCACATTTCCCTGGCGGAGGTCTTCGGTGTTCAGCAAAATACCGTCTTCCAGAGACGTCCACCCCGGTCTTCCCAAGTCGCGCAGAAGCTGCTCTGCCCTGGCTTTCGGCTTGATCTCACTGAGATCCTGATCGCTTTGGAAGTTGTCTATGAACTTCACACCTGGATTTTGCTTTCGCAATATGTCTAGGACTTTGTCCCAGTTGAAGGTTTCCGCGAAGCCAAAGATACGCTCGTCCTTGACATTGGGGTGGACGGCTGCGGCAACGTGGAGGATTCCAGTATCTTGGACGTCGACGAAGTGTCCTTTGAGTCTATGTCAGTGAATTGCTAAGATGCTCAAGGTAGCAGGGGGCCGTCGTACGGGGCTCGAACTGTTTCAGGATCTCCAAGTTCTGGTTTTGCCATAGGAAGACGATGAACCCCGACGTGGACGGGTGTCCTTGGTTAACAACGTCGAGACTCTTGCCAAAGTTGCAGTCTGGGAGCACTTCTATTTTTTAGCGGCGGAAATCGTCCTTTGATGGCGTCGGACTCACCAGTGTTGACGACCAGGTCTGGACGCTTGTGTTTGTTCTCATTATAAAACTTCCAAACCTCCTGTTCTGCTTGTGTCTTGCTAGCAGCATAAGTCAGGCTAGCCTGCTCCGCAGAGTAGGTCGTGGATGACCAGGCCAGCTTGACGGCTTCATCGTTCCAGGTGTTCTCCGTCACGACGATTCCAGGCACATTTGGCTTGGGCAGCATCGCGGCCATCGAAGAGGACGTGTAAACAAAACGCTTGACGCTTGGCTCTGCGAAAGCGGCTTTAAGTGCATTGACAGCGCCGGCAATGACAGTAGGGATGACCCTGTTAGGGTCAGGGTCGAATGTCATGACGGATGCCACATGGGCGACGGCCGACACGCCTAACGAGATTAGCGTCTGGTTGGCATGCTGGGAGAGGATGCTCGTGTACCCTTAATAGCTTCGGCAAATGCGCCATCGGCCGCCATGTCCGGGATGGATAGCAGTTCAAATTGACCCGTTCCGTACCCTTTATCGAAGACGTCGCTGAGCCAGGCGCTCTTCTTCGTGTTGCGAGCGGTGCCGCGGACTTTGTACCCAAACTGAAGGAACTGGTCGGCAACATGGGAGCCTACGAGACCGCTGGCACCTGTGACCAGAACGGTCGAGCCTTTGGGGATTGCGAATTCATCAATGGAGGACATGGTTGCGTCGATTTGTTGACCTGGTGTTCTAATGTGTGTGGTAGGGGGAGTTTCGGGGACGCTTACGACACAGATCGAAGCGACGTCGGGGGATATTTAACACGGCGTCTATTCTTAACTGATTCTGTTGTATTTTACTACGTATCATAACTCACATATGCCAACCCAAGATTCAACCCAGGTGCCAGTATAAGCCGGGTAGATTGGGCCTGGGGCCTCGGGCGAATTCCCATTCTAGCGCTCCTTTGGTACTAGGACAACGTACACGTACATATGGGGCAGTCGGATCAACAATTAGGCCGTCGGGGTGAATGAATCTGCTAGTTGAATCAAGCGAGAAAGTATAGAGGCCTCACCCACCTTCGACAGTCTCGGTGGAAGAGATGGTGGAAAGACGTGCGATGACATAATAAATCGGACACGCTCGGAATAACCTTTGTCGCGTCCCGTGTCGCGAAGAAGTCGCTTGAATTGAATATGTCCCTGTAATATTAGTCGGGCTGGTTTTGTCACCCTTAAATCAAGCTTCCGGACGAATTGTAAAAGCGCGTTCTCGGTACATCAACGATCATTGCCTAAATTAATAGTTAGTTGGTCCATGGCACAGTCTAACGTTCAACGGGGTATGAAATCGTCCGCATGATACAAAGTAGGCAACATGCAGCTTTTACTCGGCGTCCGTTCGGAGAAGTAAAGACGAAGTTGGCCTGGGAAGGGCTCGCTTGTCAGACTTCGGGCCACTGGACTAGCCCGATAGACCTAGGTTGAAGTAGACTCGCAAGATTCTTAAGTCTCGTTGATTTCATGCTTGATTTAGAGTCGTTTTCACCGCATCTTCCCACCAAACTGCGATCCCAACGCCGCGATGAGTCTCCTCCTCCCCGCCTCCGCCGTCCTTGCCACCATAGCATACGGTCCCCCGCAGTACACCGACCTCGTGCTGCAGAACCCCTACCTTTCCCCAATCATCGGCCGCGGAGGCGTGAAGGCGGTCCTCGGCGCGGCCCTTTGTCTGAGCCTCACCAAAGTCGCCAACAGAGCGCTGAATGCGTGGGCTTTGAACAATTGGCGCGTGGCGGCCTACGCCGGCTGGAACTGGGACAAGGAGGTTGCTGTTGTGACTGGCGGCTGCGGCGGCATTGGGAGGGAGCTCGTCCTTGGCCTCATCCACAAGCGGGTCAAGGTCGCCATCCTCGACGTTATTCCGCTCCCTGATGATATGAAGGACAACCCCCTGATTCTGTACGTCAAAACCGACATTACGTCGGCGGCCGCTATCGCAGAGGCGGCGGCAACGATCCGGAAGACCTTTGGTAACCCGACCATCCTGATCAACAACGCTGGGATTGCCGCGCCCCATACAATTCTCGAAACACCCGCCGAGTTCCTCCCCAAAATCTTCGGCGTCAATGCAATCGCTCTTTGGCTGTTGACCAAGGAGTTCCTGCCTAGCATGATCAAGGAAAACAAGGGACAAATCGTTACCACTTCGAGCGTCACGGCCTATATGGCACTGCCGAGAATGGTCGACTACTGCGCCTCAAAGGCTGCTTCCTTGACGTTCCACGAGGGCCTCAACACTGAGCTTAAGACCAAGTACAAGGCCGACGGGATCATAACCACGATAGTCCAGCCCAGCTGGGTGCGGACCCCGATGTCCCCTGATAACGCCGACGAGATTGAGCTTAGGGACGGCAAGATGCTGTCGCCCCAGGAGGTTGCGGGCCGTACGCTGCAGCAGGTTTTTGCCCGCCGGGGCGGCCAACTGATTCTGCCGGAGAAAATGTCCTTCTTTAGCGCCATGAAGGGTTGGCCCAACTGGATGCAAGAGTTGCTGAGGGACGCTATGGGTAGAAGCAGCCTGCTGTGATGTATTTATTGTTCCTCCGTGGAACGCTCTTTGTCAGCTTCGAGGTAGTTTAACGTTCGTGATTCGATCTATTATCTAAATGTGGACCGCGATGTCGCAATGGAACCAATCATACCAATCAAGTGGCGGCGATCCGATCCCCCTCAGGGTTCCGAGTACAAATCACGTAAGAGGGCGCACTTATTCTTTTCCAATTGCACACCTTCATCCTGTTTAGTATGCAGATGGTACTCTTAGTTGGAGGCTTACGGCACTCAAAGAGATAACTACTTACAAAGATCTCTCAGGCGTCTTGCTATACAGTCAAAACTCAGTAAATTCGGTCAGTTTGGCTTGACTATCAAAACGCCTCAGTACAAATACAAATGGTGATCGGGCTCTCCGTGACATAAATGCAAGGCGAAGGCGTCAGCGTGGGTCTCTCTAAAGTACTAAGGTGGCCAAACTGGTCGAGCTTACAGCGTCTTCTGCAAGTGTAGCCAAATTGTGAGATCTTCACTCTAGGGCCAAAGGCAACAAGATAGTGTCGAACCCTTGCCCTTGTCTATTCCGAAGTCGGTCAGAAGGGGCTTGTATGTGCTGTCCCTTCGCTCCACCAGTTTCTCTATCCTCACTTTATGTTTTCAACAGTTCTTTCAAGGCCTACTCTATTTGGCCATCTGCCCGACCACGTAGCCGTAAGCACAAGGTAGCCCTCACCAGCCTTTGTCCTCGTTAAGCATTTAAGTATTGCGAACATTGCTTGGACCTTTCCCGCTGGACTCGAGTGTCTGATTTATTGCCATGGTTCGATGAATGACAATGGGCCGCTGAGATTGAGCGCGAAACACGTTCATTCGCTAGTCTTGCTCTGGCGGCTCGCAGTGGTTGGCTGGGAGTTGCAAGCCGCGGCCGGTTAGCGGTAAGATAAGTACATGAATGGAGCCGCCTATGTGTGCGGCCGGCCTAGTGTGATACTTGCTCATTGATATGCGAAGCTATTGCCTCAATGCTATCCGAGATTCTGGAGATCGCTGCATTGATTGGCCTGCAAAAAATGTTAACTTCAAGCGATCGGAACTGTTGATTTACTACTTTGTAGTAGCCTGTACTCTAACTGAGACATGCCTGTGCCGTTGCCTTAGCATTATGCTGGGGCGTCGCTGTGCCGTTTTCTCAACCTGCGCTAAGGCATAGCTGTGCCGTTGTCTCAGCATTGCGGTGAGGCGTCGCTTTTTTATTAAGATAAGTGAGTCGGACGCAGGGGTAATCACTCGTGATCGATCAAACCCTGACCAGGGAAGGAAGGCAATACCGAGATACGGTATCTTATCTCATCTCTGAATCCTCTTACTCTCGCAGAATATTCGGAGCCCCAGGGGCTTTCTCACAATGAAAGATATATGGTCGGTGATATCTGAAGGATTTTAATTGACGCGCAGGCTGTCCAAAGACGACTCAGCGGCCGAAAGAGCTGCATTGCCGGTTCGGAGACTCTTACCAATCTAGACCGCAGGCTACCGTATCGAGGTGGCCAGAAAGCACTTTCCCTACACGGATCAGCTAGTGAGCATCTTAGCATATATATAGAACCGATAACACATTCAGACATGATGATCAGACTGCAGTACGATTGAATTTGCGAACATCAGCGATACGAAGTTCCCACGCGGCTCCAAGATTCAATTCCCGATACCCACCATTTATAAACCATGGGCTACAAAGACTGGGATGATGACAACAAACCAGCCGAATCGCGCGACCATGATTGGCAGGCAGTGGCAGGTAACTTTGATACCATTCCTGTGATTGACGTCGGAAGCATCCGGAGTGGTGACTTGGGTGAGAGACGTAAGGTGGCGGCTCAGATCAGAGATGCCTGTACTCAGGTTGGATTCTTCTACATTGAGAATCATGGAATTCCAGAGGAACTACTTCAAGAAGTTTTCAAATTGGCAGGGGAGTTTTTTGCACTCCCTTTTGAACAAAAGATGGAAGTTTTCATTGATAATAGTCCCAATTTTCGAGGCTATACTCCCGTGGGTGGCTCGGGGAAGCCTGGCCCTGATGGACGAGGAAGTAAGTTTGGCCCTTTTAATCAGGTTTCTCTACACATTCACGCTTGAGACGTTTAGCCCCGACAGCTGAGTAGAAGTCTTTATGCTTTATCTGATTTTCGCTGGCTTCCACGTGCTGATCCAGGAATAACAGACTTGAACGAGGCGTTTGAATGGGGCCACGATGCAAAGCTCAATGACGATCCCAATGACCCTTGCGACGACCCATACATGAAAGGCGATAATCATTGGCCACGTGAGCCTGCTGGGCTTGAAGAAAAGTTATCTGCTTACTATCGTGAGGTACGAGCCTTCTGTCGCCTCCTAGCCAGCTCTGTCGCACTATCTCTGGGCTTGGACGAGGATTACTTTGCGGCTTGCACCTCTCACCCTGGCTGTTCAACTGTGATGGCACACTATCCGCCCCAGACAAAAGAGTCAGGGAACCGTGGGCTCGATGCCCACACAGATTCTGAATGTGAGAATATCGGAGAAGTTACCCAATGCGCGGAACAATCAACTAAAAATTTCGCCTAGTCTTTACCATCCTGGCACCTGGTCCGGTTCGCGCCCTTGAGGTCGCGAACAAGGCTGGTGAGTGGATCTCGGCACCTCCCAAGCCCGGAACATATATCGTCAACGTGGGCGACCAGCTGCAGGCCATGACGAATGACCTCTACGTCTCGACCCGCCACCGCGTCATGAACTACACAGGCCAAGAGCGATACGCGGTTCCGTTCTTCTTCTCTACCAATTTTGACCATGTGATCAAACCTATTCCTGAGTTGATCAATGGAAACCATGTGTCTACTCATCCGGGGGTAACAGCCGGGCAGGTAAGTCGGCATGCCCAGTACTTCCTGTCTTTTCAAATCGACCATCACTCACCAGCGCTTCTTCTCTCTATTAGATGTACAAAGAGAACATGACCCTGCTTCATCGGATCGCATCCACCATCCCGGAATTCAGTCAGTATCGCACAGCTAATCAGGCATAGTCTGAGACCCAAAGCGTTACTTGCTGACATCCATGGCACTGCGTTGCTCCTGATATGCGTCAATGCATCTACAACGCCACATATCATATCTATGTCGGATATCGAAATTGGAGATCGCGAGAGACGTGGACATCTTTGCTTCTTTAGCAAACCCATCGAGATCGATGCGGAAACACATGGCACGGGAGCAGGAAATACAGGCATGGGTATCGAAAAGGAGTGTATTGATTGTCTGATTTTCTAGAAGTTTCCGCTTCGATGTGATAATATCATCATATTCGCTGACTGCGTTCCTGAATCTGAATTCAGCCTGTTGTTCTCGATTTCGAATATCTTGAACCTGGCGAGGGAAGAACCTGGCAATTCTGCTTGTTCGCTCGTCATATTCCGATACCGCTGCTGAAGTCGGGAATTGGTCGCCCCGTAAAGTGAATATGAACAAGCGATGACAGGATCCACACGCATAGCAAGTCATCATGAAAAGGGGTGGCTACAAGCTCCCCTGGCTAGACGAGTCTTTCAAGATTATCTAGCCATCAAGATATCCATTGCCATCGCTTAACACATATTACACCTTGTCATCTCAATCACCTCCCCCACCACCGCCACCTCCATCTCCGCCTCCACCTCCATCACCTCCTCCATCACTGCTAAAGAAAGCAATCCATGTTCCACCATGCGAGTTTCCGTACGTTCGGTTAGTTCCGTAGCTTCTCTTCTTAGGTCGACGTCGCTTGAAACTTGAAACTTCCGTCGGCGCTTCGGTTGTGCGGTAATCGCGGACGTCGAATTGGTTCTTCTTTTTCCGGAAGGGAAGGCACATGATTACTGGATAAGGAGCTTGTGAGGCTTGTCCCAGTAGTCGCCGAGTTGGCGCCGGGAGTGTTGATTAGGTCTTGAGTCGAGTCTCGATGAAGCTGATAATTGTGGCGCTGGATGGTGCGACTTGGATGGCGCGCGGCTATTTGGAGCAGGACCTCCATTTATCTCTTGAAAAGGCTTCAGGCCCTTATCAACTCCGTGATATTACCGAGGCAAACATAGGACGCCAAGCAGCGCTGCCAAGCAGTTTTGCCAAGTTTTTGGCCGGGGCGAGCGCCTAGTAAGGCAGATTTCTCTTCAGCCGCACGCGGCACAGGCGATCACTCTGCAGATCCCAACGCCCATCACTCCACCAGCGATCAACGTGAGGGAACAAACAAGGCCTTTGAAACATGACACTAACGAAGGGCCAGAATAGCTTGCTACGGCTGCCAAGAGGACCCAGACCATGCCGTACGAAAGTATGCCAACGGCAAATCAGGAACAGACACCAAGGACGACAACTTCCTTGCACGATACTCCTCCCTCTGCTCTGAAGTTGTCAGGGGGTTTCTTTGGCAGTTTGCACTCTGCTCAACCAAGTGTCATTTCTTCTGCCACTCAACGGCAGCCGCACCGTTCCAAACAAGGGTCTCTTCGTCTGGGAAACAAAAACATTGTACATCCACGAGCCTCGGATGAGCTCGACCTTGCATTCTGCGGTGACTTCGTTGGTAGGAAACGTCAACTTGGAAGTTCCAGTAGTCTCCCCGGCGAGTAACTGTTGCAGCAATTGATCCGTCTGGCGCTCATTGCCTAGCGACTGTGAGAGGTGCAGCAGGCTTAGTTGGCTCTTGCGCTGCCTGGGTGTCATCCTGAGGAGCAGACAGACTAAGTTATTGCAGGTGGTGATGAATATCACGGCGGTAGATACTTCATCGGAGTGCGCACGCATCAGGTTCATCGTCATAGTCGTCGTCAGCTCACTCTCGTGCCAGCTCTGGTGCGGATACCTGTAGATGGGAGCAAGCACATCATAGCGAAGCCAGCACGCCGTAGCATCGGACCCATCGCTCCGCGACGTCTTACTCCTCTTGGTCAAGTACACCTTTTGCGGCTTGAAGCCCGTAACGTGCGGTATGTTCTTAACCGCGCTGCGCGTCCGACTGTACTGGTCTTGACGGTTGGAGCTCTGGACGAGTCCGATCTGGATGGCCGAGCCGACGTCGCCCTGCGCGTAGCACGAGAGCACGCCGAGCATGTCGCGCTCGAAGCGGATCAGCGGAAGATCGATCTGCACGCCTCTGTTGGTCACGACGATGTGGCCTTGACTCGGGTGGGCTTCGAAAGACGCGCAGTCTTTGAAGAACCGGGGGTGCGTCGCTAAGATGCCAATGGTCGAGATGGACTCGGGCACCGTGGACGCGTCCCACGCGAATATGGACTGGTCATCGTATTCCTTGATGATTTCCTCCTGCAGCCGGATAAACGCGCTCTCGCCCTCGCCGTAAAGCATCGTCATGCTGATATTAAAGATGCCGAGAAGACAATAGGCCATGTCCTCCAAGCGCGTCGTCTGCCTATCCGCCGCCCACGACATCCTCTGGGCGACACTCGCCAACGACAAATCTCCCCCGAGCAGTGTCTCCTCATCAACTCCCGTCGTAGTAGAAATTCTCTCAGCGAGCTCGCTTCTGCTCCCCAGAAAGTTCCAATTGCGGTCGAAAAAGTCTACGGCTCGCGGCGCAAGCAACTCCTGTAGCGTCCAGCCTCGAGTGAACCAGCGCGAAGCCTCAAACTCATCACCCACGGAACCTGACGCGCTGTGGCTCACGTCTTCGAGGTAGGCAAAGCAGCACTGGGCCAGCTGGTACCAGCGGAACATGGCATTGATGGCCTCGGACAGCTCGGCGCTACTCGTCTTGTCGATGCAACAGGTATCGACCCAGACATACTCGAGAGGCTCGGGGAAGAGCTTCACAACGGCCTTACAGAAGCCGACAATCTTGGCCCATCCCGGTTTCTTGTCCAAATCGCCGCGGTCCATGTCCTGAAGCGTCACTTCGCCATTGCCCCAGGTGTGCGATAGAATCGCGTAGGGGGGGACATCGCCGAGGAAATTCTCCAATTTCAGCGTGTGAATATTCAGCAGACGCATCTCGATCTGTGGTGTTTGAAACCTGATTCAGATTGGAATTACCTCAATGCAACAGTCGCGTCAAGTCACGTGTTGTGTCGACTTCCAGCTGTAGGGTAAATGGGCCAGCTTTTGTGACACTATTCATGGGGATGCAAAGAGCTAGTTATTTTATAAAATTGTCAAGATTGGCCGTCTGGCTAGATAGGTATGAGAAGAATTGATTGAGAAAGAACAAAGAATTAGAAAGACAGAGCACAGGTGGACTATTTCAACTTCTCATGCATCAGCCACTTCCAAAAGAAAGTAGATGGATAGCCCAAAACGACGATGTAGAAATCTTACAATGTCAAAGCAGTAAGGGAAACATGGGCTACAAAGCGCAATTGAATCACTGGCTATAAGTTATGAGTCAAATCTAATGTGTCTCAACGCGTCTCTAATTGTAGCGTCAAAATGTAGTTTCTATCCAACTCAACTATCGGCTATAGTGACGCGCATTAAACAAGCTGGTGAAAATCGAGCAGCACAAGATAGGAGGGTAGTGGATGGTACCTAACTTGATGGAATGCGCTCCAAAAAAAATCATCATGTACGTATGGATGCTATTGCTTTGCACACGACTGCTACGATCGCCCTGCATAAACAAACGGTCGTCAAGGTCTGCGCCTTTGGGGTTGCGGCCGATTTTCGGGGTCCCAATCTCAACAACGCCGGAATGATCTCGTGGGACTTGTCGAATGCGCTCAACGAGATGTTCCCTCGCCTGGATTTGGCTAACGGTATTCGTCGAATTCTGTGTGGCTTTTGCCGGACCAAACCTCAGACTACCTTCGGTCAGTGTATTCCATCTCTCGTTCTACTATGCTCGAATCGTCTTCGCTCTGTTGTGAGAATGCCACGCGGTCATGGCGTTGGGTGGTTATGGTTACGAACAAAGCGAAGTCTGACATTCTTCGATATCCTCCGTCTTATCCCTGCATAACCAACAAGGGTTTAAATTGGTGCATCAGTGAACTTGTCCCGAGAAAGGCAATGATAATCTGCCTATACTTTTCTACCGACATGCCTCTACAACCCTAACCTAAATACCCCGCACTTTGGACGGAGCTACCGGGTCAGCTGCTGGTAGAGGTTCCTGCATGACTAATAACTAAAGGTATAACTATTATATTTACTACGTTTTTCAGAAGTAAATTTCCTTATACTATATACTCTATACTGTATTTGAAACCTACATATTTTCTATTAGGTCAGACTTTTAGTCAGCCTAAGTGATAATAAAAACATCAGGCAGACTGAAAACCAGGTCTTGACTATAAAGATACAGAACCTCTCAAATATCTATCAAGCCAGGTTCTTACAATGCCAGCGCACGATGCTGTGGATTGCCAGAATAGGACTACGCTTAACAACCTCCGCTAAAGCCTGACGCTGGGTGTCGTTCAGTTTCGATCGGCTGCCGGGCGTCTTGCTATTGATCAGGCCATCGGGGCCGCGAGCATTGAACCGCTCAACCCAGGCGCGGACGATCTGCACCGGAACACGAACCGTCATCGTAGATCGAGGCGAGCGCCGGCAATCATGGTGCCCGACTAGCATTCATTGGCCGTCAAGCCCTAGGACGCAATCCAGCGCTTGCTCTTGAAATCCTGCTGCAACGAAAGCCGGGACCCATCGCAAACCTCCTGTTTGCAGCAGGGATTCAGACTTTAACCCGGTTAGAGTAGCTGTACGGTTTGTGCAGCTATCTGCTCAACTGCCTGGGTCTCGGGAAGTGCTCTGTGTGGTGGAGCCGCTTTGGCGGCTGAAGCTGCAAGCGCAGGTACCCTTACTCCCGCTGTAGCTTTGACTTTGTCGGGCTGTCTTGGAATTGCCACCTCTGCTTATGCTGCTTGTATTGTTAAATGCATTGGCTAGTAGATTATGACAATACCTATCGTCAATTTTGGTACTGTGTTTTGTGGGAAGGCGGGGGGTTGAAGGGAAGGGGAGGAGAGAGAGAAGGAGGGAGGAGGAGGAGAATCTCTCCTGTTTCGTGCATGATTTTGTGTATCTTTCACTTCCTTGAAGGCAGGCCAAGGATTTGTTTTGTATTTATTGAAGTTCGTTTGAGATGAAGACAGGGGGAAGCAATCAGATCGGTATGTACTTTAGTTATGTTTTGATCAGTGGTTGATCCTGCATGTTCAGGTGATACCGGCCCAGCTCGAAAATTCAAGCCCTCAGAAACAAAATTTTCATGACAGCCCTTCTTCTCAGCAATCTCCGTATTATTCGAAGTCATTCCATCTTTGTATGCTGTTGATACGAGCTTTTTGGGTGATGTTCGTGGCTCATAGGTGTCTTCGTTCATAGTATTGTGGTTCATAGTAATGGGCATCATTCCAGAGGACAGGTAATGGGATTTCAGGACTAGTTAGTTCTAATGCCGATGTCTTTTTATCTTAATCATCTTGTGTGGAAGGTCTACTACTTGACTTCTTGAACATGGAATTCACATTTGGCGATGTCAACTTCTCCTACTACGTCGACCTTTAGCTCATCATCCTCAGGATTCTCGCCATTATTTAGTTGGTAGCTGGTTTCGTTATCGGACGGAATGGTGGATACGGGTATAGTATCTCTCTCGTCGTTGGCTCTTATTAGACCGTTGCCGTTGTTTGCTGGTGTCTTGGTTCTTTATCTGGATCATTGTCTTGCACTATGGTCTTGCACCGTGTTGCATGTCGTTGTCCAATATAGTCTGGTTATCGGATTATCGCAACGTGATGTGAGGAATTGGTATTGTAGTGGTTTATTAATCCTAGGGTGTGTTTGGAGAGGGGCATTGTCATGAACCTATGACCCTTGAAGGGTATCATTTGCAGCAGTACGCGATACAATGTATTTGCCCCTAGAGCAGGGGACAGTGATCTTGCTCCTTTCGTTTCTCTTTACGCTACGCCGTGCATCTAGACCTAGCCGGTACTATCAATCGATCTCTCTCTAAGGTGGGACTACCCATACCCCCAGGCACTGCTCTGGTGAAAGCGGCATACGTAGTTCACGCAGAAAAGTAAGCTTTCAGCGTCGAGATTCATATTTCAGAATTGACTAACTACTGCATGCAGCGTGCAACTAAACTGCAACACATGGAAATCATACACATTGTACCTATTTAAAAATAGGTAAAAATATGACATCGCCAGGGGACAAAAGAGTATGTAAAATTGAAAATATAGAGTATAGAAGGGTAAAAGGGACTTTAGGAGCCAGCCTGGAGACTACATTTCATGCCATCCTAACTCAACTTGACAGTAACGACTGATTTGCTAGGCACGGAAATAGTAACAGCACCACCCGAAAGCTGAGAGTTAGTGCTTGCGAATTTCCCGCTGTTGTTCGTGATGTAGGCCGCAGATTTCTTTGGTGTGAACCCATTAAACGACGCCTTCACCTTCTGAGTCGCCGAACCAGAATTGGTAAACAGCAACACAACAGATTTATCACTGTTTTGAAAAGCTCCAACGCTAACACTCGCCACGGTTCCTGACGTGGAGACCCGATACGCACCAGGGCGAATATATCGGGACCACATAGCAAAAGCCCAGTAAATGCCAGACGGCGTAACCGTCTTACCGTCCAGAGCATCAAGCAAGTGACTAGAACTCTTTGGCTGACCAACCTCAAAGCCTTCCCAAAATAGGTAAGCCGAGAGCTTGGCATCAATCATGGCGGCAGCAAGTTTCTGAGCCCAGGTGAAACCCTCATTAGCCGCTCCACTACTATACCAAGTGGTAGTATAGTCAATGCTGCCAGGGCCACCCTCTGTATTCCATTTTGGTCGTGATGTCTGGCTCAGAGGACTTTTCGCATCAGAACTGTACGAATGCGACGTGATGACGTCGAGGTACTTGGTCGAGCCAGCATTGACCAGTGCAGTTGTGTACTGGCTCTGTTTATTCCACCCAGTGGCGTCGCAGCAAACGATCTTGGTACTGAGCCCGGCGCTTCGAACCGCCTTGTAGAGCGTCGGAATGAAGCTGATGGCCTCCTGAGCGTTGTCGCTGATCTGCATCTGGCTGTAGCTGGGTTCAAAGTCCGGTTCGTTGAGAAAACCCAAATGCGTGATGTTGTAGCCTGCAGCTGCGTACAGCTTCACATACTTGACAAGGAAGTTGGCATATGCCTGGCGCCAATCCCCCGAGGAACAGGTGTGCCCGGTAGTTCCGCAAAGGTACCTATAGTTATTTAGCTTGAACACTTGTTTCCAAGTTCATAGTTATACATACCCAGGCGAAGAGTCGCTTCCGCTCGTTTTCATCCATCCTGGTGACCCCCATGCGTCGGCGTAGATGGTTTTCACACCATAGCTCACAGCCTGCTTAGTGAACCATAGTTGACCAGAATCATTTCCATCCCAGACGTAGGACGGTGCGGTCGATGGCGATTTAACACTGTTGGGTTCGATGGAATCTCCAGAGCCACCAGATCCAATGCGGTTGCGAATGATGCTAAAGCCCGCACCAGAATCTTTGTTGAACAGGTAGTCAAGTGCCGACTTTTGCGCAATCGAGTTGGCGTTTTGGAATTCTTTTGCGCGGCCAAAAGCTTGAGAAATGCCGAACCCATGGATTTCTTGATATTTTGTCCCAACATCGACGGTAATGGCGGTTTGAGATACAACAGAACCTACAAGGCCTGCCATAGTGCAGAGCCAAGTGAGGGAACGCATTGTAAGTCGGGGTTACTTGATCCAAGGGAGATATCAGTTTTGGACTTACCATTCATCTTTACAGGGTTGCTTAAAGGTCTTATAGGATCTATTTCTGTAATGAATCTCTTTGACATCGTTGAACGACCGACTGCTTTTCTTGCAATTTCGCTAAGGCAAAGCTTTGTTCCACTGAAGTTAGCACGGATAACCGGCTCGAGTAATGGCGACAGCCCGACGTTTCATCAAGGATCATTCAGTTGATTTTGTCTACTTTTGTAATCCTTGCGTTGGTCTATGCTCTGGTGTTGGAAGATGACCCTGTATTACGAAACCTCTGATATATTGATATCCTGACCTTAGTCAGAAGGGGGTCTGAAAACCCCTCTTTCGGCCGATCCGGATGACCGGCAGAAGCAATCATCAACATCATCATCACTGCTTTGAACACTATCCATGTGATCGAATTGAGCGTAACGGATCCATCATCTGGTCATTCACTGCATACTGCATTTAAAGTAGTAATATTGCAATAAACGGAGTAGAAGGACTGGGTTGCGCTACTTCACGCTTCTATTTAAGTCTCATAGATCGGGTAAGAGTGCATAAAGGTGGCTTACAAGTGGAGGGGGCGGGGCGGGACAATTCGTTCCCAGCAATTAAAATAAAACAAATTTTAACACAGGTAAAAGATTTCGCTTGTTTCAAAGCAGCGGTTGCTAGTAAGTTAGATTTATTGAATTGGATGATGTTGGAAGACCTCGGCGCAGGGTAGTCACGTGGGAACAGCAGGGCTGGCTGAGCTTGTCAAAACCCATGCAAACCGATGGGCCACTGTGCTACAAAAATTTGGTTCTTAGTAGCTCAGTGTTTATTTTTGCTTATCCGGATTGACATCCTAGAGGCCTATGACTAGGGCCTTAGCTAGTGGGATTCCGGGATAAATAAGGGTTCACTCGTCTACTGCTGTACAGGGAATGATCATCAGTTTTTTTTTTGTGTCTTGCAGTCTGTTCTAGCTTTTGGCCTACAGCGCCAGATGCCTCTACGGCCGACAATTCTATTTTCTTCCCCCCAAATTTTAAGGCCTTCTCTTGCTAATGATAAAATTACACTCTTTTCTATTTTTCCTTATTTCTTGATGACTTAGTTGATATGCAATTCGTCCAAGAAGTGTCATTTCGACCAAGTTGATGCTTATCGTTATCTAAGCTACCCTATAGGCCTGTGTTGGTAGGTATGGTTTTTTGGTCGAGGCGATGATAGAACAGAAACGCTAACAGGGAAAATCTCGCCGAGGGTAGTCAAAACAATAAATAGGCTTATCTTTGGGTTGGCCTCAGGCTACTCTGTGTCTCGAGCTCGGCTTGCGATAGTGTGCGCTGCACGCTTGGGTTGAGCGGCCGGGTTGTCTGCTGGCTTTGCCTCTTGAGTTGCATATGGGTTGTAACAATTAGCATCAGCCCTTATTTATATGTTATAGAAGTGTTCTCCCTAACAAAATAGTATTCTACATCTTACTTGGCGTCTTTACTTAGACGACTAATGTTACTAACCACAGACGACTTTACGACTATGCCCCCGGGTATAATTGTCTCCGCCTCATCATCATCCCACCGCTCGCCATTACTTGTGACATTACATTCGCTGCGCTGCCCAATCTGTAGCGACAGATCTTGCTCGGCTCTGAAGTTCTCTGTACTCTCCGACTTATTCTTGGAACTACCGAATCTTGATCGACCGTGGGACTTTTTGTTCGTTTCAACGCTGCCCAAGGGGTACTGGTTGTATCGCACCCGATTCGTTGTCCGCTTGACTAAGCTACCGAACTCATTGAGGTTGAAGAGCTGTCGGAGGAGGGCGTACAGATGCGGGACATTCGCGACGATGATGGCAGTACTGGCCTCACGCACGTACCAGAAGATCCACAGGATACTATCTGGTTCGGTAAAGACGTAGTATCGACTGAGCGTTGCGGAGATGATCTGTAGCAAGTCAGGTATTCATCTCAAGAATGCACGGCTAGCGCAGATGAGGCGACGGAAGTCACTTACGACAAAGATACCAAGGCTGAAAATGCCGGTAACAACGAGTTTTCTGCCTCTGTAGTTTAGGATCACATTTGCATGTAGTTGTGCATGATAGGACTGAGCTGCAAGACTTACCGCTTCCATGGTAATTGGGACTGTAACAGTAGAGGTATAGGAACCCCGAGCATCAAGACGTCGCCCGAGAGGTTGAAGGCGAAGGACATCTTGAGATGATTCTGGGCTGCCGAGCATTGAGCTGTAGAGGAACCGTTAGCTAAGTGGTCTCCAGATAACGAATGCAAGACACAAACGATTGAGGCCATCGAATACCCGGAAATAGTTCAAGAAGGGGCGGCACCAAATGCCAAAAAAGAAGATCTCGGTCGTGAGCCAGCCTAGAACGACATAGCCAAGGAGAAGCTTGACCCAAAGTGCTCTCTTCAAACCGGCGCTACGATTTGCTAACCATCAGCGTCCACAGAGTACCGGATAAGATGGCGCACGTGTTCCTTACGTCAATTTCAAGTACATGAAGCACATGCATAGCTTGCAGAGAAACTGGAGGATAACCATAGACTGTTCGATGATGAAAGTGATCTTGGAACCGTAGATCCTGTCTTGGATCTCTGCGTCGGACATGCCGGCCGTGCCCGTAAGAGGGAGAATATTGGTCAGGGGATGTTTCTCTTGTATGTTCACCCAGACAATCAGGTTGGTATACAAACCCTGCGCGGAGGTATTAGGGAGTGGCAGCATGCAGTGACTGATACTTACAAACGTTGGGATCATCAAGTAGTCCTCGAGATGGAACGATCGCCATCCTCCTAGGCGAATCCAGCGAGAAATACTGACGGGCCATGGGGGTTAGCGAGATGGCGAAAACGGGAGACGCATCGCCGTGCTTGCGCTGCTTAGGATGCACTCACAATCGGAGGACCACCACTGAAGTCGCGAACGCGTACCACGTCCACGACTCAATCAACCGATTGTCAGTCATGGTGGTGACCAAGTGAAGGACTCTCGTAACGTTGTCTCGCTGCTATCGCTGCAAAATGCTCAATTGCCACCTCGGCCTTGAGTTGGACGAACACGGGCGCATCTCTCGAAGATATGTGCATGTACTCTTCTGTAGCTGAAGTGACAAGTCCAGCCGCTTCGAGTTAGTGCGCAAAGATGGCGGCCTGCGAGTCAAGAGGATCTGGGGGTGACATGGTGTAGGCTGACATGGTGTATACGAGCTTCTTGTTGATACGGATGTGCCGCGTACTTCAAACCCGCCTCTCCCCGCCTGTTCACAACCAACGAGGCATCACGTTGTCGCACCATCTCCCGTTCTGTGTCTAGCCGAGATGGCATAACAAAGAACCATTGTTCTGTGTAACTCAGGTTGTTGAGCCACGCAAATCGGGCGACGGATCAGTTGACTAATGGAGACTAGTGGTATCTACAGCCAACACTGCCGCTCTATTTCTACAAGGGGGACGGCGACACACCTGCGAAAATGCCGTCTTTGCCGATATCTGGTTGTACTCAACCCGGCACCCCCAGGGGATTTCTCAGTTTTAATGTTTGGAGAAAGCATAAACCCATGGCAAAACTCGGAAACGCGGCGGTCAAATGATAGCGGAAAGTAAAATATATACATCGAACCATGCGGGAACCTATCACTTCTTCAAGTCCCGTCTTCAAGTCCCGTATTCCTGCATTGGCGTCGGACGCAGGCAGCTCTTCTGCTCCAACCTGGGCGGCCGAACTTCCCACCAACAAAACAAATGTCTTCACATCAATAATTACGCTTCTCAGCGATACAATCTTCCTTGCTTCCTCCCCTTCTTTTGCACGTTGCATCGTTCCATGCAGCGATTCCCTCCGCTATCGGCCAATCCTGAGGCGTTTACAACCTGCGGCAATCTGACTCGATTAACGCGCGCTCCGGAAAGCCTCTGTCGCTGCTCAACGTTACGACCATGGACGTTGAGAAGAATACACCGACTCTCCAGACGCATTTGGATGATGATTCGTCCTCATCGGCAGCCCAGAGGGACACCGCTTCATGCGGCGATCCGGAGAGGGAGCGCATTAATGCCATCCGACAGAGCAATGTGGTGCTGCGCTTTCTTGCCGACCTCGAGAATCGTATCGACAAGTTGACCAAGTTTGAGGCCATGGGAGTCGAACGAGTTCTGGAAGACGAGAGACGACCGCCACAGGTCCTCAATGTAAGTCACTTTGACTTGTGGTTCCACCATTTCTGCTTTCTTTGCCTCACCTGGTATTCGTTGCCAAGATGGGGGTTGGGGACTCCGTCGAACACACACGTTCCTAACTAGGCACATCTCACTCACCACCCTATAGATGGTCTTCTTCTGGTTTTCGGTCCTCATCAGCCCTACTCTTATCCCGATTGGAATGTTGGGTCCCATCTTCGGCCTATCTGTCAACACTTCGATCATCCTAACTGTCTTCGCAACGGTTATCGGCGCGGTGATACCGGCGTTCACTGGCACCCTAAGCCCAGCCACAGGCCTGCGTCAGATCGCCCTTTCTCGCTATTCAATGGGTATGTGGGGAGCGCGGCTCTGCGCAGTGCTCAACGTGGTCATCAACATCGGTTATGGTACTATTGCCGCTATCGTCGGTGGCCAGCTGCTGCGCGCCGTGTCTGGAGGCACTCTGAGCTTAGCGGTTGGCATTGTCTTGATAATCGTTGTGGCATATGTGGTCTCCTTTTTCGGCTATGCAGTCATCCACCACTACGAGCGATATGCTTGGATCGTTGCCTTCGCTTTGACCTGCGCCCTGTATGGGCAGTCCCATAAACACTTTAGCCCAACGCCGAGTATCAGCTTCGACACGGGCTTGACTTACACCGGATCCTGCCTGAGCTACTTCGCTATAATCTTTGGCGTGTGCGCCTCTTGGTGCCCCATCTCTGGCGATTACTACGTTCACTATCCCCCGAACACAAGCAAGTGGCTGGTCTTTGGCTTGACTTACACCGGTATTGTGTTCCCAACAATCTTTGTCGGAATCCTCGGTAACTACTTTGGTGGAATTATTTCCGCCGACGAGGAGCTTGGCGCTCTTTACGATAGTGAAGGTGTCGGCGCGCTCATTCTCGCCGTCATGTCACCTCCATCCGGATGGGGCAAATTTGCTTGCGTCATTTTTACTTTGACGTTTTGTAAGTAGTCCTTCTCCATCCTTAGATGGCATCGTCTCCCCGAGCAGTGATCTGAACAAAACACAGTGGCCAATGTCATCTGCAACTTCTATTCTAGCGCACTCTCGATCCAGCTTCTCGGACCACACTTCGTCGCCGTACCTCGCTTCGTCTGGTGCACCATCCTGGCTCTGGCAACATTTGCTCTTGCTTACGGGGGCCGCCACGTGCTCGAGGAAATCATCAACAACTTGCTCTCAATTCTCGGCTATTGGACGTTTGGATTCGCATTGATCTTGTTCATCGAGCATTTCCATTTCCGGCCTCGCCTTGGGGGCTATGACTTGGCTGCTTGGCAGGACCCTAAGCGCCTGCCGCTCGGACTAGCTGGAACAGCGTCTCTGATGATCGGAATTGGATTCTCGTTTTTGGGGATGTCCCAGACGTGGGTAAGTCGCATTATCCTCCCTGGTGTTTTGACGGGATGGCCTAATGGTTGCTAGTATGTTGCCCCTATAGCCAAACAGATTGGTGACTATGGTGGAGATGTGGGTGATTACCTGGTCTTGGTGTCCGTTGTAATATCATACCCTGTTCTGAGGATGCTTGAGATTAAATTCGTCGGACGGTAAGTTTTCTAGTAGGAGATTTCGATCAAGGCCACAATCTTCTTGACAACAAAATTGTAAAACGAAAGATGAAGGCGTTGGAATAGTATACATCCCACCGCGTATGGGCTTTCTTTTGTATTTCATATCTGTTATTCAAAGTTGTGGCTGGGTTTGTGTCGCGCGGGACTCGATGAATTAAAATGTCCATCGGCATTAACCCCGCGATTTCCATAAGTAATAATGCATAAAAACACAAATAAATGAAGAACACTATACAATAGGGTTCTGCAGTACTCCCCCCGAGGAGTTACATTACGAGGCATTGGCTGGATGGGATTCTATGCTACGACTAGGGCATGGATTCGAGTACGCGTCCCTCTCCTTGAAATCGTCCCCTGTCACTCCCACGTCTTGCGTCCTCAAAGGCTCCCTGCTTGCCCGCTCAGTAACCTTCCACCCAGTCACTCCTATAGCGTCACTCAACCCCTCGCAGCGACCTGCATCGCCTTCTGGGCTTAGCATCTCTCATCAATCGTTGTCGAACTCTGTCAGGTGCCGGAATGCAACGGCGGACTTGGAGCGCACATGCGTGGTCCGGAACGCAAGATCCCCCCTTGCACGTGCCTAACATCCCTTTCCTCGGCGATTTCGCTTTGAGGTCGCAGGTAGCCTCCAGCACCAGCGGCAATTGGGATACCGAAAGAGAAGTATAAATAGCTGTCTTCGCCCACAGATATGATGGCGGCCTGAGATCAATAGAGTCATCACCCGGCTACTACCTTCTACACTACTACCTAGTAGCGAGTCTACCCTCTTCACTCCCTATTGTGTATTCAGTGCCTGAAAAACTCATCCAGTTGCGCAGGTTCCCCAGAGCCATGACCGTCATTATGCGAAACGTCAGCGTCCTCTTCGACGCCATTATCCAGTGCCAAGCCGGCTCATATTCTCTTCCAAGAAGCCATCCGTCCGCGATTAGGAAACCAGAGGTTGAGCTGACTACCCCGAGGTGCAGATCTATGTGTATGATTGGGTTTTTCTTTTGAGACAACCGCCGACGTTGAATGCAAAAGTAGGCCCTGTATCCGGCCTCCTACTGATGGAAGGCTCACCAACGTCCCCTTAGACACGCGCCCTCACCAACATAACGAATGGAAGCCTGGTAATTCGTGTCCCCAGTCTTCCCAGCTCAGAAAAGCCCCGTATACCATACCAAAGGATCTCTGTATATAAGGGCAATCTCTCGGTCCTTTTCGAGCTCCAGCGGCTCCAGGTGGCCCACGGCAACGCGGACACGGAGAACCACTGGGGCGCTGTTGTACTTAGCCTTCTTTGAGCAACGGGACTGGCAGTGGGGGAAGCAATGGCTAGTGCACCTGTATTGTGCCTATCTCCGCGGGCCTCGCTCTGTTCGGCGAATGTACCGAAGCCACATGGCGCCTCGCTAGCTCTCGTGATTTGTCGAGCCGCTGTCAGCAACTGTGGCTTGCATGTGTGACATATGCTTAATCAATAAGAATTCGAGCTAATTACGACTGGCTGCAGGCAGGACACCATCTGCTACCATGTCTGCTTCCCCAGAGTAACGTCAGAGGTCTTGATTTAGACGTTGATGACCCAAGGCTGCGTGCGAAGATGGGTATTTAATGAAGCCCTATTGCGCCAGAGAGGGCGATCATCTCTGCTTTTGTTAAACTTTTCCAGTGCCTGAAGCCGCAACACTTTGACATATATTTGCCAAGCTCCGGAAAACTTGTCGCGTATCAACTCTCCTCTACCCCAAAGCGGCTTCTTACGCTACCCACAATGAGTTCGAATGCTTTTAAGGTCATCATCGTCGGTGGTGGCCCGGTCGGCTTGACAGCCGCACACTCCCTCTCACAGGCAAACCTCGACTTTGTTGTGCTGGAGCGCCGCACCAAGATTGTTGAAGATGCCGGCTCAAATCTGGTTCTACTCCCTATCGGATTACGTGTATTGAGCCAGCTGGGCATGCTGCCCAAGATCGAGAGTGTCAGCTCGCCGATGAGCCGTTTCAGGCGTATCGATTACAACGGACGCGATATTGGTGATACCCTGTGGTTTACACATTCCAAGGAAAAGTCAGTTAACATGCCTGTAGCAGACTCTAGCCTCTTGATATCTATTGCTAACGATGATTATATAGCCATAGTACCTATCCACGAGTGATAAGCCGACACGATCTGATACAAACCCTATATAATAGCCTTCTAGCAGAGGTGCAGGCTAAACTGCTTCCCGTAAAGAAGTTTATTAATATATCTTCTAGCTCCGATAGTATTAGTATAACTTATACTAACAATATTTTATATATTGGATTTGTTTTTATTAGTATTAATAAGGCTTATAACGTGCATGATAAGCGAGTGCCGCAGACAAGCGAGTGCCGCAAAAATCCTAGGATCACTTCTTATTTCATTAAATCAATTATTTCTCAACCACCAAATATGTCACAATCAAATAATGAGGCAAGAATTCTTCTTGCTCTTCAAGCCCTTCAAAATAACCCAAAGCTAAGCATCCGACGCGCCGCAACGATCTATACAGTGCCCGAATGGATGATACGTCGCCGACAAAATGGCATGCTTTCTCGACGCGATATTATCCCTAAGTCACGGAAGCTCTCTGATCTAGAGGAACAGATTATTGTTCAGTTTATTCTCGACCTAGATTCGCGAGGATTTCCCCCGCGACTGCGTGGTGTTGAAGAAATGGCCAACCGACTGCTCGCCGACTGCAATGCGTCACCTGTCGGCAAGCGCTAGGCTTCCAACTTCGTTAGGCGACAACCAGAGCTTAAGATGCGTTTTTTTCGTAAATACGACTATCAGAGGGCCAAATGTGAAGATCCAACTATTATTCGAAATTGGTTCCGGCTCGTGGAGAATATAATCGCGAAATATGGTATCGACCTAGCTGATATTTACAACTTTGATGAGACTGGCTTTATGATGGGCATAATTGCAAGCGGAATGGTCATTACAGGCGTAGATAGGCGTGGAAACCCGAAATCAGTGCAGCCTGGAAACCGGGAATGGGTTACAGTCATTCAGGCGATTAATGCGGAAGGCTGGGCGATCCAGCCGTTTATCGTAGTTGCAGGCCAATATCACCTCGCCAACTGGTACCGGGAAAGCAACCTCCCGGGCGATTGGGCTATTGTGATGACTTAAAATGGCTGGACCGACAATAAGACAGGTCTTGAGTGGCTTAAGCACTTTGACCGGCACACAAAGAATCGATTAACCGGTTGCTATTGTCTTCTGATCCTCGACGGGCACGAAAGTTACTATTTAGTCGACTTTGAGAAATATTATGAAGAGAACGACATTATTACGCTTTGTATGCCGCCTCATTCGTCTCACCTACTTCAGCCTCTTGATGTCGGGTGCTTTGGGCCGCTCAAAAAGGCATACGGTCGAGAAATAGAGCATCTAATTAGGTGCTCGATAACTTATGTTTCAAAGACTGAGTTCTTTCCGGCCTTTTATGCCGCCTACCAAGCCGCTATAACGGAAAGTAACATCAAAGGGGGTTTTAGAGGGGCCGGGCTTATTCCTTTAGATCCGGAAACTGTGATATCTAAGCTTGATGTGCAGCTGCGGACTCCAACACCGGTTGAGGAGGAGGCTAGCCTCCCCGACCCTTGGGTCTCAAAGATGCCAAAGATGGTGCTTGAGGCTACCTCTCAGTCTGAATACCTCAAAAGACGGGTTAGAAGGCACCAAAGCAGCTCTCTGATATCTATTCTTGAGGCGCTTGAGTCTTTTTCTAAGGGAATAAAGGCAATAATATATGAGATGGCATTAATGAAGTCTGAGATCCAGATCCTTCGACAGGCAAATGAGACTCTTAGCAAACAGCGCAGAGCAAAAAGAACTCGACTATAGAATAGAGGGAAGATGACTGTAGATGAGGGAAGGGATGCAATTGATCAGAAAGACATTGATGCGCAGGTGGTGGCCGAATTGTCAAGAAGTGGTGGTCAAGGAAGATCAGCGCCGGTGAGAGAAAGGCGCTGTGGAATATGCAGCAAGACCGGTTATAATATAAGAACATGCCAGATAGTTGTTAATATATTGGAGGAAGAGTATAGTAATTGATTTTAATTAATTAGATATTTAATTGCTTTTTTATTTGAGTTTTTATTTTGAAGGTTAAGAAAAGTATGGTACTTACTTGTTTGCAGCACTTGCTTATTATATACGTTAGCTAAATAAGAAATTTAATATAAATAGCAGCTTTAAAAGTACTAGTTATTATTAAGAATTAAATTAATAAAGCTAAGCTATTTTTAATTATACTAAGCTATATAAATATGCTTTTTAATAATTTCTTTAATTAAGGCTAGAAATACTAGTAAAATATATAGCTATAATTATACTCTTTAACTTTTTACTAATAAGAAGATATTTATTATAGATATATATAAGTATATAACCCTTAATAAGGGAACCTAGTGTTTGAATTTACTGCATTTTCATTATACACATATTATAGTTACTAAAGCTTAAGTTTTAGGTTTTAAGTTACTTTTTTCTTTTCTATTAGAATCCTATTTAACTTTTTTAATTCTAACCTTAATAAATATACTAAAAACTCCTACAACCTAACCTAATACCCTAAGATCCTTAATACCCATAATATCCCTTATTTAAATCCCCCCTTCTACTCTAAATAGCTAGTATCTATACTAGCCTAATATAGTATAATAACTTCTAGAATTAGAGGTTATATTTTTTACAGCTAATTTCTATAAGAAACTTTTAGCCTCTATTATTATTAGTATTTTTAATATTATTAGCTAGATTATATAATGTATCTATTTCTATCTAGATAAATATAATATTAATATTAGTAGCCTAATTTTCTATAAATTAACTCTATTTCTATTATTAAGAAATAAATTATATCTAAAAATAGCTAATATAATTTTTTAGTTTTTATTTAAGTATTTTAAGTAGTATAATAAGAAATTTAAGAGGTTTCTTTTTTTAAGGAATTTTAAATAGTTATCTAATTTATATCTTTTTCTTTTATCTTAAAGATTCTAATAGAATTCTATATTATATTAGAATTTAGATTTATATCCCTAATATATAGAAATATATATAATAAGAGTCTTATAATTAATAGTAGTTAATATAGTAATAAGTTATTTAAATAAAATTTATTAAGATAGAATAAGTATTAAAAGAGAAGTTAATTTTTTAATAATAGAAGATATCTTTCTTATATTCTATTACTTAAAATAAGATTACTATCTTAAGATTATTAATTATAGATAGTAAGGTTATTAATTGTAGATAGTAAGGTTATTAATTATAGATAATAGAATTAAAGTTAAAGGGGTTAAATAGAAGCTTTAAGTAGAAATTAGTAGGTAATAATCTTATTATTTAGCTACTATTTCTTTTAGTATTAAATATAATTTTTATTATTTATTTCTACTATTTAAGATTATTATATAGCTTTAATCTATTTAATAATATTAAGTAAAGCTAAAAAAACTAAATATAAGTATATAAAAAAGTTTATATAAAAAGAAGTATAATATAACTAAAAAAAATAAGTAGAAGTTTATTAAATAATAAAGTTATTTACTTATTATTAAAAGTAAATTAATTATTAAGAATACTTATAATAACTAAACTTAAGTTAGTATAGTAAATCTTAAAAAAAAAGAATATTATTAAAAATTAAAGCTAGAATTAAATTATTCTTCTTAATAATATAATATATAAGTTTATATTTAATATTAATATAAAATATAATAATAATATTATTAATATTATTATACTTATTAATAAGTTATATTATATCTTTAAAGCTATTTATATCTTAAACTTAAAAGTTTTTATAATTAAAGAATAAATTCTAGCTATTTTAATATAGTTAAAACAGGTTTTATTAGTATAAGCTAGGCTACTAGAGCTATAATATAAGCAGATATAATATATAAATTTATAGATTATTATATCCTCTTAAAGTAGTTTTTATAGAAGTTCTTTTTAAATTGTAATATACTGATACTAGCTTGTATATCTATGTTTAAGTATATTATAGGTAAGGAGAATATAGTTAGAAAGTTTCCTTAAGCTTATCCTATTAAGCTAGCTTCTTAGTTAAATAGACTAGAACCTACTTACTCTGCATTAAGTTGCGTATGGATATAATAGTAGGTGAGATTGACATAAATATCAGCAATATAAAAGCTGTAGTGGAATAGTTTCAATATGTTGCTTCTACAGACCTGAGAACTTAGTCTCTCTAAGGTCTACTAGTCTAGTGCTGTAGCGATGAATTAATTCCTATCCACATTTCTTGCGGCCTCTACTCATAATATATTACTACGTCCCAGCAACTTGCAAGGATGCTGGGGTAAATACTGCGGGGGCACTCCAACCTCTCTCTACACTCGGACTCTCATTATTCCATAGTTTGACCCCCATTCTCTTAGACGCCCACAAGAGGAATAGCACATGAAATAGAAAATAATAGGGTGTCGGCAGAACTAGAAGGACAACGGACAAATGCTAGACAAACATAGCTTAATAACATAACCCTAATTCTAATTTTACCACACGTACAGAGCAGAATATTCCCATAATTTGGGTTGGCCTGAGCTGATATCCAACCCATAGTACTTGAGGCCACGGCTGAGGGTTTACATCTAATAGCCGTGAGACGAACACAGAATAAAACATAATTCGAGTCGAGGAAGGTAGGCTAGTGATTTCTTTACATAGGCATATCCAACCAGGTTCCAACCTCTCTCCTTGGACAATCCATCAAACACGCTCAAGTGCATGTGAGTAATGCCTCAATACCCACTTCGAAATTCATTAGCATGCATGCCATCTCTGCCTTACAGTCAGCCACAACTCGAAAGCCAGTAAAAGAAAAGGAGGAATAACACTCACAATGTGGTACATGTCGGCCTTGCAGTTTGTCTTGCGCCTTCACTTCACATGCAATAGCTCTGCCTTGTAGTCAGCCCACATCACTCATTACAAGCCAGTCGAGACGTCCACGTCACTGCGCAGTGCGTTGTGAATAATCTGCCTCCTGCAGCTCTCCTCTGCCATTTGCCACAGCTGCATTCAGGCCAATCAAAACACCTTGATCAATGCATTGTATTGGCCCTACAATTTCTCATTCAATATCGCCCTGCAGTTTCGCCCTACAACGTCGCCCTACATCTCCACCCTACGACTCCGCCCTACGACTCCGCCCTCCAGCTTCGCCACTCAGTTCAGCCTTCGTTTGAGCACTGATACTCAGACTCGGGGCTTCCATGCATAACAACGCCGACGTGGTATTCGCCCATGATGTTGCAGAACCAACCAAACGTTTCCAAACTCCTTACATCGCATCTGCCTTGCAATGGAGGCTTGGATTGATTGCGTGTTATCCGCCCTACAACTCCACCTTACCATGTTGCATGGTCGCGCCTGCGACTCCGCCTTACGAATCCGCCCTGCAAATCAATCACCTTCTAATCACCTGACCTTCCTCTAGAATACTCCCTTTATAAAGCCCATCTTCCTCGCCAAATAAGAAGAAACCCAAATTAAAAGAAACCTACTTGTTTTTTATCGCACGACACACAAACGTACTTATCTGAGTTCTCACGATGGCAGTGTGTACGTGTACGGCATTGCTTGCGATGTCTATATGCTCATCTTCCCTCACCAGTTCTCTGTGAACGACTGTCCGCTTTCTCAAGGGCGAATTGCTGGTACAATGATCCCGATACGCGCATTGCTCATAGAGCATCCCTATGCTATCTCGTCAAAATTTTCCATATATTCCGCAATGCCCCCGAGAAAGTTTTCTGTCCGAGGACATCCTGGCTACTCACATCATTCGATCCCTTTTACTATACTTCTCACATCAGGAACAAGACACCGAAGGCAAGGCAGGTTATGTCTTGTGATAAAGTCTGCCAACCTCACTATAAGACCGACGCAACAGAAGACTAATCAATCTTTTCGAAGAACAGACCCTTTACTTCGAACTGACTCACCCCAACTTCACTCAAGCTTCCTTGATTCGGCATTGCACATTGGAGTACTCTTACTCTGCAACCTGCCATCGAGTCATCACCTAATAGCTTTACTATTGGTTCCATCGGACATCAGTCTCCCTCACATCAGCCTTGATGCTACCCGCCTTCTATGGGTAGAAGCAGCCTGCTGTGATGTATTTATTGTTCCTCCGTAGAACGCTCTTTGTCAGCTTCGAGGTAGTTTAATATTCGTGATTCGATCTATTATCTAAATATGGACTGCGATGTTGCAATAGAACCAATTATACCAATTAAGTAGCGGCGATCCAATCTCCCTTAGGATTCTAATTATAAATTACATAAGAGGGCGTACTTATTCTTTTCCAATTGCACATCTTCATCCTGTTGAAATAGGAAGACTCAAGTTGCTTAATTTATACTAAATATGCAACTATCTAATAGAATAATATATATTATCCCCTCTTCAGGGAAAGAGAAAACAGTATCAATCCAATATCCTTTTTTATTTTAATGGAACCTATATCGAAGACCTAAAAACAGCCTCCTTAACCAGCTGCAGCCATAACAGCCCCGTTATAGGGGTGGAGTCATATAAGCAAGGCAGATCCAAGCACACGCTAGACAGGGGCATACTAGCAGGCAGCTGTCCATGTAGCAGCAGAAACACAAGGCCATCAGACATTCAGTGACAGTAGTGCAAGAGGGGAATTATAGCAGGGCAGTAAGGGGACCGGATAGGAATCATTGGCTGTACTAGGGGGGTCTGCAAGGCAACACAGAGGGTTGCAGCGATGGGAAGCTGAAAGTGTGTCGCTTACCCCACACATCCCCCTAGTACCAGCATCAAGTTGTAATAGGAAACCCCGGCCCGCTCCGCGCTGATCGCTTAGAACCAACTACTGCAGATAATCATGTTATCTATTTGACATATTGCTGCATTGCAGCTATGGGTTGTAACCAGCTTCCTATGTTGTCTCACACAAGACGGAGATCCATGAGTTGCTTGTCAACTGCGGCAGCCAGGGCGGATAAAACCGGCAAGATGCGGTATTTTCTCAACCAAGGTTGCATTCACGGGTTGCTGGCTGATACTCAAACCTGCAGCAACACATGCACTTTGCCGTCAGGACTGCACTTTGCCTTGGTCGGGCCGAGGTGGCTTATTCGAAGGTTGCAGGGGCAGGTAGTCAACTATGGTATGTTTGATGGAGGCCCGAGTGGTGATCAGTGCTCACGCTACTCTCTTTGTGTTGTTCAAGACGTGCATTCTGACTGGACATCGGGCTCGGGGAGGGAGACTATTCCGTCGTTATTGCAGCCTGATATTTCTTGGTGTTGTGTATCATTATCGTGGACTCTGTGATACGGAGAGAGGATTGAGGCCAGACGCAGGTGGGGCACTAACCACAACAGCGTATCCGCAATTACAAAAAGTAAAAGCCCCGGACCACTCGCATGTGAGATGTGACCACAATAACTCAGGGCGCCGAGCTGCAAGGTAGCAATGGGTGGTCAGACGTAAGCTTACGTGGCTGGAGAACAAAAGCCCAATGATGACCTGATTCTGCATTACATGCCACGGAACAATCAAGCCTGAGTAGGCCGTGCAACGGGGCGTAGCCTGGTTTGGGTTAGTGTCCCGGGCGGGGGCTTTTGGCAACCTTCTGATGCCAAATCCTACATCTATGATATTTTGGCCAGGATTCGAGAAGTTACATGCGCAACTACATGACGAACTCCATCGTCCGATGGAGAGTCGACAGATGCTCAGCGAATATATCCTTCGAACAAGAGTAAAGAACTTGGTGGTGATACTACGGTTACCTCGGTCTTGTCATCCTGAAAAATGTTACTGATGCGCTAGCCACCCCGGAAGGAGACACTGACCTTCGACCGCAATATAACGAACTGGACATGTTAAATCGCCAACGCGACGAAGTATGTCATCGGATCTGGCCTCCAAGTACATTGCATGTAGACATGGGTGACGCTATGAACTAAGTAAACTACGTCCTCGCCCGCCTCCAACTTTCGTAGAAGAGAGGTTTTCTCAACTTACCCCTATATTGATTGCCCCAAAATACATCACTTTCGAATCTTTACGCCATGAACCCTTGATACATGGCTCTTGAAATGATATGGACTCGACAAAAAGTTCACCAACAGTTTGCACTGAGGATGGTGACGGACAGAGATTGCCAGCGTATTCCAAATGCTGTAAATGCACTGTGTCTTCTCCAGTTCTAACTTAAGTTATAATGCTAACTCACTTTCCTATTTTGAACTAAAGCTTTGCTGAATATCACTCCTGCTTGCTGACATAACACCTACAATTCCACCATGCACTGTGTTTTCAACCTTCTCCGCCTAATAAAGTAATCATTAGACTTATATAACTTGAATCGTTGTACTGATGCAGACTTACCACTGGTTTGAGGATAGCATCCAACGCTGTCGCTAGCGTTCTATCTTGCCCCTGAATTGCATCCTTGAGCAACTTGAGACCCCAGGTCAATTCCACCACCTCTTTATCAATCAGCGCCTTCTCCGTCGACCTGGCGGCGGGGAAAAGCTCCTGGAGTTCCTTGGTTTTCTCCGAGATGCACTCGATCATTCCCTTAAAATGTTCTCGATCATACAATACCCACTTGGCTTTGCGCCGTATGGACAGTTTGTTCCGTCTATTCTTGATCACCTTCTGCATCTGTTCATGAATTGACTGACCCGCGACGCTGAGGTCTGTCTCTTCACTGAGGACAGCATTTTCGTCCCCGGATCCTGGGCCGCTGACCTTCGCGCTGAGGTTTCGAACACGCTTGACTTCATCCAGGACCGATTTGAGGAGCTTTTCTGCACTGGGGATGTCGGGTTCGGGAATTTTTGTGCCTCTGAGTGACTTGGTGTGTTCGTCCACTCCATGAAGCCCAACTGCCTCACCCCACCTAGACAGCCTCAGCCTGGCATTGTCCAGTTTGAGGACGCAGTCTTCATAGTCATTTTCGAAAGTTTTGGCGAAGTGGATGTACTCGAAGCACCTCAAAACAGTGTCAAAAGTAGTTGCCAGGCTTATAAGCCCGAGGGCTAGACCAGCTGTCTCCATTTTAACAGGCGGAAGGCAACCCACAGGCTCGATAGAAGTGAAAGAACTGGGATGAAGGCCGAGAGTTCGGATCATAGAAAGCCGGGGGAAAAAATTGTAATTCGGGATTTCTAATGAACAAGAAGAATGGCAGGGAGAAGCTGGAGGGTCACCGTTGAGGGTGGTCAGCTGGGTGAAAGGAGGTGAAGTGCAGGCTCAATCTAAGCGCCGAGCAAATTCGTGGCGCATGCATGTTATTACCAACTGCTTACGAATGACTCATCTAAGGGACACGGATTAACCAATCGCAGGGAAGTCGCCAAGGATGCATGCATACTCTTGAGGCCCTCTTGAGGCCTCGGCTACGCTGTCGGTATGAGAATACATAAGTGACTTGATTGAGTACATAGGCTGCTGCAGGCATCCATCGATCGAAATACCCTGTCTGACTCGTTGTACCTGTAGTCACAGTCCTTGTACCGCGACTTGTGCCCTTGACACATACATTATGCGGCTACTCAAGAGCTGAAATTTGCCAAGAGGATCGTCAGGTCTCGACTCTCTCGCCCGACGCCACACGTTGTGACCTGAGGCATTTAGTGACGGCCCAGATTGACACCACCCAGCTACCCTGGTTTTTTATTCTCCCTCTTGTACCACTTTAATCTGCTCCGTCCTCCGTTTAATCAGCGATACGTGGCGGAGGTAACTGAGCCCGACGGATCAACATGGATAACCCTGTCGCCATCAAGAACTCTAATGTCGGGGCTGGGACGGTGTCCCAGAGGTGAGAGAGGGAACCATGTTGCAAAGTCAACGACAAGGAAAAGCGCTAATGTTAAGTCCAATCCAGTACCATACATCAACATTTTGTGGAAGTCCCGGTAAGGACATAATTCAGGAAGAACTGAGATTGAATGCATGACTTACGGAAACAGAGAGGAAAACCATTGACAGCGGAGAATGTCCCAAACGCTGCCTTCAATGCCGCAAACAAGCAGCATATGCCCCTGTGCCTCCCTGGTACCAGGCATGACGTCCTAAGGGAGATCCGAAAATGGGCTGATGGGCAGAGGGGTAGTGTATATTGGATGAAGGGCATGGCTGGTACAGGCAAGACCACTATCGCTCTTACTATTGCCACCGAGTATCATGAAGAATGCCGCCTCGGTGCAAGCTTCTTTTTCTCAAGACAGGGGGACTCTCTGTCAAAGTCTCGTGGGTTCCCAGCTACGATAGCGACCCAATTAACAAAAGTCTCAGCAGAGCTTCGGGACCGGATTGGGGAAGCTTTCGAGGCCAACTCGGACATCCACAGTCTTGGGCTACTTTATCAGTGGAAATTGCTAGTTCTCGAACCGCTCGCGAAGATGCGTCACAGCTTACCTTCTCCTCTGATCGTGGTCATCGATGCATTGGATGAGTGCGAGAACTCACAGGACCTACGTCTATTGATAGACTGTCTCGCATCTTGCTCTGACGACATCCAACTACGTTTCTTCGTCACCAGTAGGCCAGAGGGGTCTATCGAATCAGCGATGGGGAGGGTCACGGAGAACCAAGTCCGGACCTTTGTGCTTCACGATATCGAAGTGGACAAAGTCAACAAGGACTTGATGGAATACTACAGAGAAACTTTTACGACCATCGAACAAGACACTGGGCTGGAGGGATGTCTCCTGACACAAGAGAGACTGGATCAGCTGGTCAAGCGGTCTTTCGGACTGTTCATCTATGCTGCCACCACATGCCGCTTTGTCCACGAAGGAGGTCCACTAGCCGAAGATCGGCTCAAGACTCTGCTCGAGGCACATCGGCCCCTGCTAAGTGCAGAAGCAGAACTTGACCAGATGTACAGGACAGTTTTGATGGGCTCTCTTACGGCCACCATGGGCCCAGGAGAGCTGATGCGTGTGCAAGATTCTTTCAACACTGTTGTCGGATGCTTGGTGGCACTCTTCGACACCGTTTCAGTAGAAACACTAGCGACGATCCTCGCACAGCCGCCAACCACGATCATGGCAACAATGAAACGCCTTCACTCAGTGCTAGATGTCCCAAAGCAACACAATAAACCGATAAGAATCCTGCATCCGTCCTTCCAGGATTTTCTTCTCGATCCATCAAGGTGCGGGGAACAGTTCTCGGGCGACATTCAGGACAAGCACCGCCTTCTTCTTGATTCGTGTCTCCGAATCATGTCAATCAATCTGAAGCAAAACATTCTGAGGCTTGAGCGACCAGGAACTCGGGTCAGCCAGATATCAAAATTGGAAGTGACCAAAGCGATCCCTTCTCATGTCCAGTATGCATGTCTGCATTGGTTTCTGCACTTACAGATGACCGATCTCGATCCACGACAGGATCGGCAAATCCTTGACTTTTTTCAAGTAGGACTCCTGTTCTGGCTCGAAGCGCTGTCTTGCATGGGCCGGCTGCGCGATGCGTTTGACGCCATGGACATTTTAGAAAGCATCATGATGGTATGTAACCCTTTGATCAATTCTAGACGGATCCCTGGTCTCTAGTGCACAATTAACACAAACCAGAAAACTGAGAATACAGGAATCGTTTCTCTCTTGCAGAAAGCTGGGGCTTCACTTACAGGTTCCGCATCTTTGTCACCAATGCTCGACGATGCCAAGCGATTTCTTTTCAGTCACAGTCTAGCAATCTCACAAGCTCCCTTGCAGTTGTATTGCTCTGCCTTGATATTCAGCCCGGGTAACAGTCTCACAAGAAAGCAATATATCCATCTTCTCCCCACATGGATCTCGGAGACCCCATCTCTTCCCAAGGATTGGAACCTCTCTTTTCGAACAATTGAACCTAAGCAAGAATTGGAGCGCATTGTCTACTCTTCAAACGGTCGATTCATCGCTATCCTTTTCCGCCGTGGCACTCTCTGTCTGTACGATCCCCTAGGCATGAAGCTATGGGAGACCAAATCCCACTCCACTCCATCACATGGCCTGGCCTTCTCGCCTACAGAAGATCTGCTGGTCACTGTGTCGAAAAATGACGGAACGACACGGTTCTGGGATGCTAAGACGGGCAGGGAAACGCAGCCCCGGCAAAGATATTACAATCCCGGTGCCGGTTTGAGTTATGCAGTACCAACATTCTCACCTGACGGATCTTTAATCATTGCCGCTGCTACGCATGAGAAAGTACAAGTGTGGTACGAGTCGACAGGAAAGTTGCAAGTTCTAGCATGTCCCCGGTCCCGCACGGCGGTGTTTTCGCCCGACGGCACAATTTTAGCAGTTGTTTCAGATGGCGGAGTTCGGCTTTGGAGCTTATCATGCGATGAAGAGATTTGGGATCATCAAGCGCGAGGTCCGATAGCTCTTGACGGCGAGCTTGAAGTAGCATTTTCTCCTGACGGGAAACTGTTGGCGACGAATAATTCCTTCATCATACGACTCTACGATGCGGCAACTGGAGTCAAACTCAGGACTATCGATGAGTTCCTAATCAAATCCAGTCGGTTTCTGCAGTTGGATGAATTAGGTGTGGGACCAATCGCCTTTTCTTCCGATGGAGAGCTCCTTGTCGCGGCATCGGCCTGCGGGAAAGTAGGAATGTGGAAAACCAAGAACGGCTCGAGGAAGTGGCTACATCACGGCGACAGTGGCGATGGTAATGCGATCGCTTTCTCGCCCGATGGAAGGCTTATGATTATTGCAATGGGCGATAACTCCGTCAAGTTTTGCGACATGTCAATCATCAGCAGGGCGCAGCAACCCTTACGAGGGCTTCCAAGTGTAAAATGCGAGTACATGATTACTGTCTCACGGAGTCGTGAAATCGTATTGATGAACTTTTTGACGGGCGATGGAATCACGGTTTGGAATACAAAGACGGGAATAGACCAACGACTTCTCGAACCAGAATCGGTCTTATCTGCAGTATTGTCGCCGAACGAGAAAACCATAGCCACTGTGTCGTATTCCCGGGATTCGCCTCCCAATGATACATACTATATGCAGTTTTGGAGTGCTGAAAACTATGCCATGGTTGGTGGTTTTGGCTTTCAGCGCCGCCATGACCAGCCAGAAGGAGTCGCGCTCTCACACGACGGCGATTTAGCAGCAGTTGTGACCATCTTTGGGGATGTGCAGGTCATGGAAATGACAACAGGCATGGTACGCTGGCATTTTCAACTCGAGCCAGATTCGCGGATATGGATCAGCTTTACGGCTTTTTCTCCGGACGACAAGGAAATATCGATACTGTATAATGGGACAGCAGAGATATGGGATATTGCTGAAGGCACAAAGAGGCTTACGCTTGCGAAAGATTCAGGGGCAATACATGCATTGGACTACTCTCCGGATGGGAAACTGGTCGCGACAGCATCGGAGGGA